TTTCTCTATTTTATGATCCCACCAGTTTTTGCTTACAGGCAAATGATATTTTTTGCAGATCTTCCAATGCACCATTGTAGCTACTTTGTCATGCCGCTGCTTGTAATCAGTCTGTGCAATCTTCTTGCAACAGCTTACCAAGTGGTCCACTGTTTCTTCAGCTTCTTTGCATAGGCGGCACTTACTGTCTGTTGCTGTCTTCTCAATTTTGACTTTGTATGCATTTGTCCTTAAGGCTTGGTCTTGTGCAGCCAGAATTAGTCCCTCGGTCTCTTTCTTCAATTTTCCTGCTCTTAGCCATTGCCAGGTTTTATTATTATCTGCTTTCCCAGCTATTTTTTTCATGTATTGGCCATGTAGTGCTTTGTCTTCCCATTATCAATCATCGCACAGTCAGCCAGATGTTCAGACTGGATTTGGCATTTTGTCTACCTATCGAGTCCTTACTCAGGACCTGGGATAGGCAGATGTGGATGTTTGATGGTATTACAGATATCGTCGCAGGATGGTCTTTGTTTTCCATCACTGTGTATCTGCGACGGGTAAATACCTTTTCCTCCAGTAGTTCTGCAGCTGCTGGCCCTGGTTGCTCAGCCAACAGTCCTGAGTCCTGTAACCCATTTTTCACCAGATATCCAGGAACTCCAATATCTACCGCGGACCTTGTTAACCCGGGCGACGTCCGAGCCGGTATGGCATTCTGAAATTTACATCTCACCATATTTTTTATGGGAGAGACACTCTTTGTCTGACTCCTCTGATGAGACCTGTCCAGTATGGTTGAACCTCTGGCATAGCTCTCATCTTCCTCAGAGTACACAAGCCCCACAACCACGTATTATTATTATTATTATTATTATTATCTTTCTGGCTCTTCTCTAGACTCTTTCCAGAGTCTCAACATCTTTTTTATATTGCGGTGACCAAAACTGGATGCAGTAGTCCAAATGTTCTCTTACCAAGGCATTAAAGAGCGGTACTGACACTTCACCTGTTAATGGGGAGTGTTTATCCCAGTAGGATAAACACATATCCATCATCCGATTAAAAAAAGTAAAATATAAAAATAATTTAAATACATACATACATGCATACATACATACATTTAAAATAAAAAAACAAATAAAATCAAAGGGCAGACTTGATGGATCACTGGGTCTTTTTCTGCTGTAAGTTTTCTGTTTCTAAGATAGCTTGAGCTACCAGAGAAGAATTGGCCCAAAGTTACCCAGAGAACTGCCACAGATGAGGGTGGACTAGAATTTTGATATTCCCATTCAACACTTCAACTACTAGACCACACTGACACAGTGGGTCGAATGCATAGTCCAAGTTAGTATTAAATTAGAGGGGAATAATTTGTTCTAAATCAGATTGCAATTCCATTTTTATCCACCAGGTGGGGTATCCTATTCCACAGGGGTTCATTCTAATTCCACAGCATTTGAGCAGCTGTTCAACTGCTTTAGCTCATCCCTGTGGCATCTTCTGCCACATAGTCAGGAAGGGACTAACCTTTGCACTAACTTTGCCTACTCCATTAAGGCACATATCTTTGTTAAGGGGGCATCATTGCTCCCAATCCACAAAACTTTCTTACACTGCATTCAATTCCCCAAACCCGAATAATTCAAAGTTAGCTGAGCTAACTGTTGCCGTTTATCTTCTTCAGTTTGTACTTGGTCTTCTTTTATTTTCATCAAGAGAGTCATGCCTTCCTCACTTCCTGCCATTCAGACAGCCTTTGAAATATTTTAATTTCTTCTATTCTAACATTTCTCAAGATAACTTCAGCATTTAATTTAAATAGACAGACACACCGATTCTGAACCATTTGGTTGCTCCATAACAATAGCACTCTTACAGAAGCTATGGCAAAACAACCTAAAAAAAATAACAAAAGATAAAGTGTGTAGGTACATAGATCCGATTTATTTCGAATAGAATCATCAAAATTGGCAAGCAGATTGAAATCTCTCTCTCTCTCTCTCTCTCTCTCTCTCTCTCTCTCTCTCTCTCTCTCTCTTTCTCTCTCAGAATGCAGTATATCAACACTCTAAATATAATGTAATACCTCCAGATAATTTAAAGATCCATTAAATGTAGATAATTTAACATTTTCTTTTTTCGTAGCTAGAAGCAACTGCTTTGTACCTTTCGCTGGGATTTTCCACAGGCGAGACTACCCTATCCTTGATGAAGGAAGTTCCTTAAAGGGTGAAATCTTATCTTGCCTGCTCCCCCCTTTTAAATGGCAACAACTTACAAAGCTGCTGTAATTGAAGTCAGTAACCACAACACTGCCTTCTCCAGAACACCCGCCCTGCCAACCTCTGACGTGATGATCGTATTGCAGGGAATACCAGGCTGGGCTGAGAGATAAAAAGACCACAGTGCTAAGGAACCACAACCACAAGGGTGGGCCTGGGCAGTGTAGTCAAGCCCAGCCAACCCACAACTCCATTTCCAATGTTCTGAATTTGAATATCATTGAGCTAAGATGGAAGAAGGTAGCTGGGTGAAGAATGATGCACACTGGGAGATTGTGCCTTGTAGCCCTCATTGCTAAGATGGTGCCATTTCTGCTCAGACACCCAGTTCTTGCTACCCTCATGAGACAGATCAGGAGGAACATAATACAGGCTTAGCTGATGGTGACTCAGTTTAAATTGAATGATAGACTGATTGCAACCTGTTTCAAATAAACCAAACACTGGAAATGCATCATATCACACATTAGGTATCAAACCACAATGTATAAACTGCAATAACTGGCAAACATGAGGGCTGTGTGTGATTTGTAATGATGGAGAAGATCAGGGCTTTTTTTCTCATAGAACGTCCAGAACGGAGTTCCAGCACCTTTTTTGAATGGAACCTTGTAGGGTAGGCAAGGCGGGTTGTATGACGTGTGTGAGTTCCAGCACCTTTTTTTTTTTTTTAAGAAAAAAAGCACTGGAGAAGATACACTTCAAAATTTGCCAGACTATAAGGCACATCTCTGCTGCTGATTGAAGCAGTCAGGCATCCTTGGGGCTCCCGTGTGATCTTGAAAAAGGGAAACGGAAAAAAGAGCCGCTGCTTTAGCACGTTCACTTTAATGCACCAGTTTGATCTAGTGGTTAAAGTACCAGGCTAGAAGTCAGAAGACTGTGAGTTCTAGTCCCGCCTTAGCTATGAAAGCTGACTAGGTGACCTTGGGCTAGTCCAGGGGTAGGCAACCTTGACTCTTTTATGACTCGTGGACTTCAATTCCCAGAATTCCTGAGCCAGTCATGCTGGCTCAGGAATTCTGGGAGTTGAAGTCCACGAGTCATAAAAAAGCCAAGGTTGCCTACCCTTGGGCTAGTTCCCCCCCCCTCTCTCTCAGCCCAACTCATCTCACAGGGTTGCTGTTGTGAGGAAAATAAGAGGAGGAAGATGTGATGGATATGTTCACCACCTTGAGTAATTTATAAATAAACAGGTGGGATATAAATTTGACTCTTATTAGCAGGTTCTTGCAATACACTACATCAGGGGTCCTCAACCTTGCAACTTTAAGACTTGTGGACTTCAACTCCCAGAATTCCTCAGCCAGCAAAGCTGAAGTCCACAAGTCTTAAAGGTTGCCAAGGTTGAGGACCCCTGCACTACATCACAAACCAGACCTTACTAGTCACAGTAGTTGGTTCACAAAACATGCTTGTCCAAATCATAACCGCAGCAGCAGCAGCAGCAGCAATAGGCACACACTGTGGCTTAGAAAAGCTTTCCCTATATGCACTGTCCTATTTCTATGCTGTTTCCTGCTGCAGGTTTGGTGCAAAGCTACAGCTAAAGGCAGAGAAGTTAACTTCAGTGAAAGGTTTCATCTAATATATAAAACATGAGTTTTTACAGGAAATAGTTAATGTCAATTTATATAAGATCAGCCATTGGAGTCCGTAGGGCGGGGAGAGAAATGACAACATCTGCACAATGAAGTCATCACACAAATTACCACTTAAATACCTTGTTCTGTAAACAAGAAAGTATGTAGTTAATGTGGAATAAAGAACAATCATTAGAATAATGATGTGTCTGCATAATTACTGGAATAGTGCTGTGTTAGTAGTATGTGACTAACCTAATGCGCATTGCACTTGGATACAATGTATATAGCAAACTCTCCATTGTATACCTGTGAGAAACGAACCTAATGTATTACAATGTGTATTTCAATGTGTATTCCTTTGTTCCTGAGGGAAAAAAAGGAAAGTATAAAACTGAAGTCTGAACCCGCCCTCGGGGTTCAGAATTGCTTGTTGCTATTGCTTCTGAACCTGCACAATAAATCTCTCTGCCAAAACCCTCTGGAATTCGTAAGAGTCCTTTCGTTTTCCACAAGATAGTGATGACATTTGCATGACAATATCATTGTGCATGACATCATTTTACTGTCACTGTGGTTTGCTGTAAATGCTGCTGCTAAGAACTTAATCTCAGGGGAATGTAATTTATTCATTAATGTGGTTGCATTTGGATTCCATGTCTCTACCTGAAATGGCATGAAGAGAGTGCAGAATAAATGGATAAAATAAAAAAAGATAAAACCAATTGCTAGCATGCATATTATTTTTTTTAAAAAAAATTAATTAGATCATTAAGACAAAAATAAAGACTTCTTCACGTTGAACTTAATTATAAGGAACTGCAGTGACAACCCATTTAGTTTTCTTGGCAACAATAGTTGTTGCTGATTACCGGTCTTCGTTTTTCCGAGTTCTTTTTTCAACTTTCCAGTTTGATTTACACCCCCAGATGATCTCCCATCCAAGCGCTAACTAAAATTTGGAGCGGGGGGGGGGAATCAGCCGAGGTGGTCTAGTTACTAGTCGCAGATCAGGAGAGATTCCCAGCTGGGCAGCCGGGTATCTGTTTGGGTTTTGTTTTGTTTTTCCTCGAAAACGAAAGCACCGGAGACTTTCGAATAGGGGCTTTTCTTCTGATACTTACGGCGCTCGGCCGCCTAAGCATGAAGTTGAAACGGGCTGTTTTCAGGTTCCGTTTCAGGGTCTTAGAGGAGGCAGTGCGCGGAGATGGAGACCTCGCTGGCCGGCGGCGGCGGCGGCGGCGGCGGCGGGTATTGCCGCTGCCGCCGGTGCCCTTGGTCTTAACCCCTTGACCCCCGCAGAGCTCCGTCCCAGCCACACAAGCGAGGAGAAATGGGCTGCAAGGGCAGTAAACCGGGCTGCTGTGAAGCCAGAAGGAAGGTAAGCGCGCGGGGCAGCGGCGGCAAAAGTTAGTCAGGGCTGCTGGACGTGGTATTTCGGGGTGGGCTCGCACCCTGGTTTCTCTTGACAGCCCTGGGGGGTTCCAACCGGGGAGAAGAACTGGGGGGGGGGGCGCGTGGAGTCCCGTCCCTCCGATTTCTTGCAAACTCGCTCATACACACACACACACACACACACACACACACACACACACACACACACACACACACACACACACACACACACACACACACACACACATATTTTGTAGTGCCAAGATTTCAGTCAGTTCGCGAATCAGAGGCGGGAGGCGTCCGGGAAGGGGAAGGGAAGGAGCTGTTTAGCAACAAAAGCTCAGAACTTTTCGACCGCAGCGACAAGTGTGTGTGTGTGTGTGTGTGCGCGCGCGCGCGCGCGCGCGTGTGCGTGAACAACTTTAGCGGTTATTCAGCTCTCCGCCGCCGCTGCCGCCGCCCCAAAACCGAACGATTTGCTGGCCGATGTCCCGCAGGAACGCCGGGGAGGCGAACGGACCCTTCGCCCCTCGCAAACAAAGGGAGCCCCCCCTCCCTTTCTGGCTATAATACGAGGGGGAGGGAGGGAGAGGCAGCAGCCGACGAGAGAAGTCAACTTTGGAAGAGGGTGGTTGATCAGAGATACATTACAGTCCAGTGAAGTTTACTTCTCACTTGTAGCGCTCGGGATGGGAGCTTTTCTTCCCCCCTCCCCCAAGGAAATCCGCGTGTCTCTACTTGGTCCGTTGCTCATGACCACCCATCCTCTCCCAAATTAACCTCCCACTAAGTCACCTTTAATTTAGGAAAGGGTGGTTTTAAAAAAGAGAGAGAGAGAAAGGTTTAGAAACATCTTGGCTAATATCATAAACTGCATGCACATCCGGGGCTGTTCTGTAAAGTAGGATTTACAAATCACAGTAGCCGTACTGAGCTGGAACCATCAAACTTCACCATGTGCTAAAATGTATGTCTCGTCTTTGCCATCGTGATTAGTAATTTTGGCAAGTGGGGTGAATGGGGTGGGCGTTTATGCCACAGTGAGAAACTTATCCAAGGTTGTCCAAATAGACTGTTAACCTAATGCAGGGAGGTGGCCCTTATTCTGAATTCGGTATCCAGAGGCAAGGGACTTAGCCTAATTTGCTGGATCTCTAGGAAAAGAAGCCACATCAGTATGTAATTTTCAACTGGAAAAATGAAAATAAAATCTATCTCAAATTGCATAAAAGGCAGCGCAAATTCCACCAACCTTCTCCTTTGTTTTAAACAAGAAAGTTTCTACCAGGTTATTATCTTGTATTTAAAATGATGACTCCAACCACATTTCCAGGCAAACAGCAATGCCTGTAATTCCATCGTGCTTATTTTGGGGTCAGGATGTATTTGTTTAGTTGGAGGATGCTAGCAAGAGCAGCTTGATGGAGTGGCAAAGGATTAACTTTTTATAGAAGTACTTATTTTGAATTTAATTTTTACTAGGAACAGGCCTATGTTGTATAAAAAGTTTTGAATAAAGTTAGATAAAAAGGCTTGTGCAGCCTTTTCTTTTATTAATCAAATTCTTTAGCAACCTACATTTGTGGGACATATTACAGAGGTGGTTAAAATGAACTATACTGAAAATTACGCATTTTGAACATTGAATGATATTTCAAGTGTGAACTATTTTTGTGTAGTGTTAAGGCTTCCGGCTAGAAACTGGAGACGGTGAGTTCTAGTCCTGCCTAAGCCACAAAGCCAGCTTGGTGACTTTGGACTATTTCTCTCTCTCTGAGCCCTAGGAAGGAGGTAGGGCAAACCACTTCTGAAAAACTTTGCAGGATTTGTCCAGGCAATCTCTAAAAATCAGACATAATTAAATGGGAGGAAAAAAATTGATGTACCATCTAATCTTCTGATTCTAACCGGCATGAGACTCATGAAAATAAAAAATGCATATAATCACAAAGTCCATCCATTAAACCAATAAATAATAAACAAAACATCCATCTTTCCTTTCCAATAACTCCTCCACCACTGAGTACAGGTGGTCCTCGACTTACAGCAGTTCATTTAGTGACCGTTCAAAGTTATGACAGCGCTGAAAAAAGTGACTTATGACCGTTTTTTACACTTACAGCCATTGCAGCATCTCCAGGGTCACATGATCAAACTTCAGACACTTGGCAACTGACTCATATTTATGACAAAAGGGTCCTGGGGTCATGTGATTCCCTTTTGTGACCTTCTGACAAGCAAAGCCAATGGGGAAGCCAGATTCACTTAACAACCACATTACTAACTTATTCAACTGCAGTGATTCATTTGCAGTAACAACTATGGCAAGAAAAGTTGTAAAATGGGGAAAACCTTTCTTAAATGCCTCACTTAGCAACAGAAATGTTGGGCTCAATTGTGGTCATAAGTTGAGGACTACCTATATTTCTTTCAAATGGGCCATTGCTTCCAACCCGCTCACTACCCTTAAGTATCATAGTGTTCAGAAATAAGGAGAGGAGAAAGAGGGAGAGAAGGAGGGAGGGAGAGAGGTTAACTCACCAGGCTAGAAATCCAGGGATCTTGACTTCTAGTCTTACCTTAGGCCAGTGGTTCTCAACCTTTTTAATGCCGCGACCCCCAACCGGTCGTAAGTCGAGGACTACTCAACCGGTCATAAGTCGAGGACTACTCAACTGGTGCAGCACCGTTTGCAGAATGGGACTTTTGGTGGGCTCAGCAGGGCAGAGACAGCCTGGACAATTCCTATTGGCTTTTGAAAGCCAATAGAATTAGACTCTATTCAAGAGAGTCTATTCCATTGGCTTTCAAAAGCCAATAGAATAAAGGGGAGTAGCACAGCTAAGAAAAAGGGGGAAAAAATGGCAGACTGCGTTGTTTGGCGACCCCTGTGAAATGGTCGTTCGACCCCAAATGGGGTCCCGACCCACAGGTTGAGAACCACTGCCTTAGGCGTAGAGCCAAGTGGGTAACCTTGGGCCAGTCACTCTCTCTCAGCGCTGGGAAAATGACAGTGGCAAATCACATCTAAAATCTTGCCAAGAAAACTGCAGAGACTAATCCAGGCAGTTGCCAGGAGTCAACATTGACTCAAAGGCATACTAAAACACAAACACAAATCTGGTGAGCCTTTCTGTTCTGTACCTTATGTGCACAGTGAAGATGAAAGAGTTTTGCAAAGTGCAGGTCTTTATTTCTAAAAAAAAGTGCCACGTTCTCGATCTCCAAACTACAGACACAAATCCACCATAATTATTGACAGATAAAACTAAGACTTTGCCCATAAGCAGAAACATTGTTGGCTGATTATTGGCTGATTCGTATGGTGAATGTATACTCCCTACTTGAGGCCATGTTTCACCTGACTGAACTTAGGCCTTATGACTGATGGTGAAAACCTTTGCAAAAAAACATTATAGCAGTAAATATTCATAATAATCATATTCCGCTCAGAAACACTGAAGTTTGTCTTTACATACTTTTCCCATTTCTCCGAGAAAAAGAAATCTAAAAAGACAGCCCTGTTGTTCTCTGTGTTTGGAATCTGTGCTTTGAGTTACTAAGGGACATCTCTGAATGCTTTTTCCATCTTTTCTTTGGCAATGTGCACCTGTAAAAAAATACGCTTCTCAGTAAATATGCTTTACTCAGTTGCATAATACATAATACATTAATCTCCTACATGCATTGAAAACAGTTCTGTACCAGCCAGAAGAGCTCTGAGAGAAATTTATATCCAGATCACTCTGTATTTTAAAACCATCACGTGAAAGGCAGAGTTCCAGAATCTTACGATTCTTTGAAAGAAAGGAGAGACCAGGAACTGGAAAAATACCATGAACTCAGGTTATTGGTATCGATGGACTAAACTTACTTCTACGTATGACAAATAGAGTGAGAACGTCTCACAAATCTCTTACAAAATATGTCATACCTTATCAATTGTATCCTTTGCCCCCCAAATTAATAAGATTGGAGACAAATTGTATTTTATTTTTTTGTGCTGGTGAAAGGGAAAAACAGTGGTAAATTATTGTTTTGGGGTCTGCTCCTAAGTCCGATTTTGTCATTTAATCATTAATACCATTGCAAAGCCAAGTGTATCCTGCTGCCCAGCATCCATTTGGCTGACTTTTAAAAAATTAATTGATATATACCCTATCCCAATTATATTCCAAAGGCAATGTAAGATTGACTTAGGACTATAATGGAGCCTTGATCATCATGATTTTACTGCCCTTTTTGTGGTGGTTGTTGGCAAAACTGTCATAAAATGGGGTGATATGATTGCAGGTTGCTGCAAACAGCTGTAAATACAGCTATTGTAGGAGATGGCCCTGGCCCTTGACAGCCACGTTGCCAAGTTCCCAAAGTTTGGTCATGTGACCACCGAGGGGGTGGATGCAACTGTCAGAACTTCGAATCCAGATTGCAAGGGTAGATTCGTTATAACTTTGAACAGTCGCTAAGCAATGGGCCATAAGTTGAAGAAATATCTGTATTGTACAGCATGACCAAAAAAAAAAAAAAAAAAAAAGCAAGAAGCAATGTTGAAATCTTAGGTGTTTTTGTATTTGGTGCATTATTTGTGAAACTTATGGAAAACATCACACAAATCCTATTATAGTAGTAGAATAATCAGGAATAAATAAATAGCTGTTGAATTCTGTAGTACTCTCTGAACTGGTTGTTTGCTTGCATTATCCAACCTGATGGAGTTACTAGTTAGGTAATGAAACATCTACAAGCAACCAACCAAGCTCAAAGGGAACTAGGAACTCCACAGTTTCAACCCAGATATATTCTGATGTGTTCAACCCTGATATCTTTTCCTCCATTGGAATAAATAAACATGCCTAGTTAAATAAATACATTAACACTAGACCAACAATAAAGAAGTAAACAATACACTGGTCAAGGAACCACCAACTCAGACAAACAAGTTAACAGTAAGCAATAGCCTAATCAAGATGCCACCATGATCACTCCCATTGATACTGACAGGGCAAGCCACCAGTATATAAATGAGACCAAACCCCACTCCCTTCTAGCAGTGATTATGTTACCTACTTTGGTAATGAACCATCTGCAAGAAAACAAACAAGCTCAGAGACCACCAAGGACCCCATAAATAAATAACTTTCCAGTTTGCCCAGAAGCAAGTCTACTTCTCAGCCCCCCCCCCTTTTTTTACTGTTTTCCTACCTTTTCTAGGGCATCAGAGGTAGACAGAGGTTTACATCTGGAAGAGAAGGAGGTTTCTAGTGGACTGGCTGCAACTGACATATATGAATCCAAAATCAGGGACAGCATTAAGGCAGGCTGTTTGCATCCTAATCTGAAGTGGAATAAACTAGCAGACAAACCTCTAGAACATTTCCAACCTGGCACCACAGTAGGAAGGGTGAATGCAATCCCAACAGCTACCATTGTGTACCGTTTAAGATTAATGGTGCTGGAGTCTATAACTTGTATTATTCAATTGTTTTTAATTTTAATGTATTTTGGCTGAATAACAGAGAGGAAATCAATTATTCAAAAATTTAGATGAACAGATTCACACAAATATGTCTTTTCCATGCTGAGTACATTTTGTTTACTGATAGCTATCTTATTTTCTATCATGCATTTTCCACTTTATCTATCTATCTATCTATCTATCTATCTATCTATCTATCTATATATATATATATATATATAATTTTTACTATCAGACATTTTTTTTTAAAAAAAAGAATTGTATGTATCTTCTTCTAAAAGAGATTCAGGCTACATATATGGAATTAACCATTTATCTCCTTGCAATCAATTGTATCCATAACAACTGACAATATCAAAAGGATAGCATGTACCCATTATATCACTACACAAATAGTACAATGATGTAATGACATCCTGATGGTCTGATGCAAGTCCATTAAGTCATGTCCTTTGCATAATGACATCACAATACACTTTGTCCCTTTCCACAATTCTCCAGTAGAGAAGGCTAGTTCAAGTGGCAGGCAGGACAGTTTTCCACCTCAGACAATGGCACAACTAAATAAGCTGTAACTCGGGACTGTATTGTTTTATACAACATCTTGAGCCATAATTTTGTTTATTTGAGCTTAGTGCATTGCATGAATCCACTAAGTCCCTGGTTAGTGAACCATGACTTGAACCAACTGTGTCAACTTGGCCCCTTTCAGTGGTGTGTTCTGCTTCCAAAGTTTTAGCAATGGCAGGTTAGCTGGGAAATGAGAGAGTGTTCAGGCTGAGCAAAAGTGTATTATGTGAACCTACAGAATGATAGTTTACACAACAAATCAAAGTTAACCAAACTCATAAACCAGAGCCAGAAACGAGAAACCTATTGAGATTATGGCCAGCTGGTAGTATCTAATATAGAATGTTGTTTCTTTGGTTTGCTTTGACTGTGCTGTGTGATTCCAGCTATTGTAGTTTGTAAACTATGATTTGTATACATTAACATTATGACCAGACCAGACTACTGAAACAGAGAAGGTTTGATTGCATGAGCTAACTAGCTAGGAACCAGCTGTTTGGGTAGGGCTGTCATAATATTCCATGTAACAGATTCTTGGCCATTTCAAGGGTGTGGCTTCAGTCATCTATTTTTGTTTCTTTAGAGCACAAAAAGATAAAGAAATGATTGTGTTGGTGCCACAGCCAGAAGCCCACAGGGATCTGTAGCAAGAGGAATGCTGGCTGAGCTGCCCAGAGGATTGTAATGTTACATTATATCAGGGGCTGGAATTCAGCTGCCTGGCACAGGGGGAGACAACGTGTGTTTATAGTCTGATCCCTGATGGGGAGAAAGGCTGAGAGATGGCTGGCCTCATTCCAGAACCAGATTAGATATCCTGCACTACTGAAGAACAACCCTGTAACAAGCTAGAGTCCAATGAAAAGTAAGCAGGCAAAGTCTGAGCAACAGGCAGAAATGAAAAGACACAGAAAAGAAAAGGCACTGGACAAAATGTGTGGGAACAAAAAAAATTCTGAAGGAATTTTTCTTGCATTCTTTGACTCCAGTTACTTTACTGCATCTGAGATGATTTGCTGGGTATTTAGACTTAGAATAGCCTCAGTCTTTAGCTTGCTTCATACAGAGATTGCCCTTCCAGATGTCTTGGACTACAAGCCCTATAATCTATGCCAAGTATAAACAATGAGCTGCTGGACAAGTGTTGTCAAAGTTATAGTCTAACACAGATGGAAAACACTAAAATGGGAAGACACCAAAATGGGAAATACTAATCTATGGTCTCCCATCAGGTACAGAGGGAGAGGTTCTCCTCTCAGAGATGTGCTTATCTGGATTCCTACTTACTTACTTACTTACTTACTTACTTATTCAATTTCCTTAGTTGTCCATCTAAATCCAATTGATTTTTGGATGGGCATCAGCCTACACCCAGGGGCAGAGAGGCTGGAATGGCCCTGATCATCTGGGACTGTCTGGTGGCATTCAGATGTATTGCTGCATTAGTGTCAAAAGCACTGAGACACTTCCTGGTTGAAAGGATTGGCCTGTGACATCACCAATGCCTTGAGGATGCTCAGTTGGGGTCTCCTTTCATGTCCCCAGCAGGAGCTGGAGCAAAGGACAGGAGCTCACCCCATCCCACAGGTCTTGAACATGGCTTTCTAACCTCCAACCCAGTGTCCTAACCACTCGAGCCAATGTGCATCTTTTCATAGGTACTGCTCCAGGTGATTGCTATCAGGCCCTTTAAGTTGGCCTCTAGAGATTGTTGCTTCTGTATCAGCTTCCCTGCTGCAAAGCAACCTATCTGACTGAACTCCAGGTCTCGGTAGCTGAGTTGGCAGCAAGTCTTAGTGGACTTTAATCTGACCTCTGGGTATGAAAGGTATTGGCCAGGAAAGCTAGAAGCATGAAATTTGGCATTAACTAGGTTGTTAAGCATCTGTACCTCTTAATTGAACACTCATTGCAATTTTAAATATGCATTTAAATATAGTTTGAATAAAATGAGAATGGCTTCCTGTACTAGCTATCCTCTCAGTCTGGACTACAAGAAATACTTGTAATATAATACTACACTTTAAATATTTCTCCAGTCACACTGATTGGAAACCACAAGTGTTGTACTTCTACAGCCTGGAGCATACAGATCAAACACTATATACTTAACAAAAACTACTCACAGTCACAAAATAAATACAGAATTTTTAGAATATACATATTCTAATTCTTCAGTAAATCAAGTCTGCTAGAATAATCTTAGTCAATGCATTTTTAAATTATAATGGAAGACTAATGAATGATTGTTTGTTCTATACCAATGAAACAGTCCATCCTGTCCCCAGCATGATGACTTTTAATATCTGTTTCTTTATATCCCACCTTTATTACATTTATAAATAACTAAGGTGGTGAACATAACTAACACTCCTTCTTCTTTCTCTTATTTTCCCCACAACAACAACCCAGTGAGGTGGGATGAACTGAGAGAGGATGACTGACCCAAGGTCACCCAGCTGACTTTTATGCCTAAAGCAGGACTGGAACTCACCATCTTCCGATTTCCAGCCTGGTGCCTTAACCACTCAAGCAAATTGGCTTCAGAAGATAATAATACATTATAACTCCTCTAACTATGACAGCCACTATGCTTGTTTGGAATGATGGGAATTGCAGTCTGGCACATTTCTAATGCATAAAACCAGTAAAAGCTACACCATGCCAAGAGATTTCTACACTAGAATTTTCCAGGGATGATATCTTATCATTTAAGTGGCCTTCACACTTAAAGACCAATGGGAAAGAATCTCTTCTCTTCTCTTCTCTTCTCTTCTCTTCTCTTCTCTTCTCTTCTCTTCTCTTCTCTTCTCTTCTCTCTCTCTCTCTCCCTCCCTCTCTCCTTCCCTCTCTCCCTCTCTCCCTCTCTCTCTTGCAGTGGGTAAATAGAGAAGTAACATCCCTCTATTTTCTGTCTCCAATTGTCAGTATTACACCATCTCCTGAAGTCTGGAATAAGAGAAACCAGATCCTGTCTTTCCTCTATGTGACATTATTTCAGGATATGAAGAGTGCTATCATATCCCTTCTTGTTTGTGTTTTTTCACATAGGAACATATGCAGTTCTTCCGATGTTCACAGCACAGAGAACATAATGGAATGAAGCCTATTCTTTTGTGGCTGAGAATTAGCTGATATGAATATATAAAAGACCAGGTAGCCAAATACCTGTTTTATGGCTTTAATCACCAAGGATTATTCTACAGATTAGGAATTTTAGACCTAAATCAAATACCTCTTAAAAACCGCATGCTTACGGTTGTAAATATAACAGGTGAATGACATGATTTGATTTTCTCAACTTTAGCTGTCTGTCCAGACACGATTCCTGAAAGTGTCAGCCAGCCATTGGGGGGCTGAAAGTGATGTGAGTTATGGTTTCAGATACATCCGGAGGAAGGATGAGTGAAATTCATGTTCAGAAATATTCAGTACACAATGCCTAGAGACATCTAAGAGATGGTTACATTGTAGTTCTCTGCTGAATGTAATTTCATGGCAAACTCAGATGTTTAGAGTGGATGTAGAGCTCCATCTTTTCCTAGTCTGTTAAATATTGTTGCAACACTTAGGTCATTTCCTGACATGTATTCCACCCATCTTCAAGTTGGCAGAAAAGCACATAAAGCATGAAAATTTGTCCTGGTCTCTTGGTTGAATTTGATTGTGCTTTAGCCAGCCATAAGTCCAGGAGGTGGTGCCATGATTACAGAAGATTAAATAGAAGACTGTGTTATATAAAGCATTAAAGACCCACAATTGGCCTAGCAAAATTATTTGACATCTACCCTGTATACTGAAATAATGTCATTTCATTGCTGCCTGAAGTTGGATGCTATCTTTTGATATCAGCAGACATAATACAGCAAACATAATGCTGCAAAGTCCTTGACTTATAACCATTGTTTTTGTGACCAAAGTTTCAACAGCACTGGAAAAAAAGTGGAATGGAATGGAATGGAATGGAATGGAATAGAATAGAATAGAATAAATAGAATAGAATAGAATAGAATAGAATAGAATAGAGCTGGAAGGGAACTTGGAGGTCTTCTAGTCACACTCCTATAGTTTTTCACACTTACAGCCATTGCAGCATCCCCATGATCATGTGATCAAAATTTGGACACTTGGCAACTGGCATGTATTTATGATGATTGCAGTGTCCTGGGAACATGTGATCACTTTTTGTGACCTTCTGACAAGTAACATCAATGGAAAAGCCACATTCACTTAACAACCATGCAGCGATTCACTTAACAATTGTAGCAAGAAAGGTCATAAAATGGGGCAAAACTCTCTTAGCAATGGAAATTTGGGGATCAGTTATGGTCCTAAATTGAGGACTATCTATAGCAGTGGTTCTCAACCTTTTTAATGTCGCGACCCCCAACCGGTCGTAAGTCGAGGACTACTCAACCAGTCGTAAGTCGAGGACTACTCAACTGGTGCAGCACCGTTTGCAGAATGGGACTTTTGGCGGGCTCAGCAGGGCAGAGACAGCCTGGACAATTCCTATTGGCTTTCAAAAGCCAATAGAATAAAAGAGAGTAGCACAGCTAAGGAAAAGGGGGGGGGGGGGAAATGGCAGGCTGCATTGTTTGGCGACCCCCGTGAAATGGTCGTTCGACCCCAAATGGGGTCCTGACCCACAGGTTGAGAACCACTGATCTGTAGAGTAAGTCTGTGTCTCAATTCGCCTTGTAACCTCCTACAGTAACTTCACAGTGGTCCACAAAGAAAAAAAAAACTGGTAGGGAAAGAGCCTTTAAGGCAGTGTTTCTCAACCTTGACAATTTTAAGACATGTGGACTTCAACTCCCAGAATTCCACAGCCAGCATTGCTGGCTGTGGAATTCTGGGAGTTGAAGTCCACATGCCTTAAAATTGTCAAGGTTGAGAAACACTGCTTTAAGGAATTATCACTTGTCATGTACAGAATAAGCAGTACCCAGCTTTGCCTATGCTTCCCCCCCCCCATCATTACGTTTTAAATTAAGTCTTTCCTAACTGGCATCTTCTCGAAAGTATTTTGCACAAGTGTTCTTCCTTTCCTGGGCAGCAAAGGTGGTACCGTTAGTTGGTTGCAAAATGGAAGCAGTTTTTATATACACTGTTACTTAAAACAAGGCTGAGATGGAAACTCTGACAGTAGCAAAGTTTAAGGCGATGGTAAAAACAGGGGATGCTATAACAAAGCATTCCTGAACTGATGATATCACTGTTTGAACTGTAGCCTCGGCTGGATATGGGTGAGTGCCAAATATTTGGAGGAATTATTAGGACTGAGATTCTGCCTAATAACCAGTGGTTATTTATGGTCTTCTGAAGAACAGTGCACTCACTCTGCACCCTGATTTTAATCTCTAGAGCTGGCCATAAAAAGCAGAAAATTATTGTTCAGTCACCAGCTCAGCTTCACCCAGTTGCCCAGATGTGTGTTGTGATTGGCCATCCAGCTGCTCCAGGAGAATCATGGGCATATGGAGTGTGATGTTTGGGTTAAGGGGAGGCATCTGACACAACTGTTGGAAAGTGTAGGCTGCACCCCGATTCAGTGGAGTGTGGTGCCAAACTCTTGTTCCTTGTTTGTCAGTTTCTTAAGCCTCCTTCATGTTTTCCAACTGTTCCTTCCCAGACACTCCTTAAGGAGTTTGGGCCCCCAATTTTCTCAGCTCAGCTAAGGTAAAGGATGGAGCCAGCTGCAAGGACACAAAGCAGAATGCAAAATAAAGAGAAGCTGAATACATTTCATAGCCCACTAAAGGGAATACGAGGGCGGGTGTTACAATCCATGTTTGTGTGTTTTCAGATGTGCAAGGATCTTTTTTTTTTTTAACTCTCTAGGTTTCACAATGTGACCCCAGAGTAGGAAGGACAATGATCAAGTTCACTGTAGCCCATTTAATCGCATCTGTTATTCAGAATGTTTCTGCATCTATTCCAACTCTGCAATTAAATCAGTAGACCAGTATTTCTCAACCTCAGTGAGTTTAAGATGGGTGAACTTCCACTCCCAGAATTTCCCAGCCAGCAGAGTGGCTGAGGTTGAGAAACACTGTGTTAAACCATGTGTCATTGAACAGGTAATCTTTGTCAAGTAGTCTTTGTAAGTCGTGACAATCGTAAAAGGTTTATGACCTTTTTGCAGCATCATTAAATGAATGCCATGGTCATAAAGTGGCCAATGCGGTTGTTAAGCAAATGTTGCAGTAGTTGAGCAAACCAATGGTATGCTATGAGTGTGGTTTTGCTGCAAACTGGAAGTAAATGCCAGTTTTCAGCAAAACCACTGTACAACATGGTCACATGACCATGGAATGCTCAAATGGTTGCTGAATTTGGTCCATTTGATCCTGAGAGGGCCCAATTGTAGATATTTTGAATCCAAATTGTAAGCAGCCCTCAGATAAGTCCAGTATAAGTTTGAACGGTTGCTAGGTGACCAGTCGTAATTCGAGGACCAACTGTGTCTTGCGTGGTGTACTGAGCTCATAACTTCACTGCTTAATGTGCAGGCTGGTCTGAAACTGAAATTAGTTTCTTTATTCTTGCAATTTTTTCCACATGTAGCAAACGTTTGTTTGATTGCTATTGCCAATAAAAGGGTCTGGGTTTGATTCTTATGTGGTTTAATGATACTGAACTTTCTTTCTTTCTTTCTTTCTTTCTTTCTTTCTTTCTTTCTTTTTTTTTCTTTTTTTCTATTTTTGTACAGTACTATTGGAATGTTTGTTTATTCATTTATTCAAGTTGTATGGCCATCCATCTCAATAAATGACTCTGGGCAGCAAGCCAATCTTCAAATAAATTAACAATTCCAACTACAATTTAAATTAAATTAAAATACACAGCAGCTGAGGAAGATATCACAATCAACAGACACTAGCACAGCCAAGAAACAGCGCCCTTCACTCATTTGGGACCCCAGGCCCAGATCCAGAACTAGTTACAGGGTATCCCAATATCTGAAATAAGAATGTTCCAGAAGGTGGGCCTTAGGCATGAAAGCTGACTGGATGACTTAAGGTCAGTCACTGTCTCTCAGCCCACTCACCTCACGGGATTGATGCTGTGGAAAAACAGGAAGAAAGAGGATTACGTATGTTTGCCACCTTGAGTTACTTATAAAAATGGGATAAAAATCTAATAAATACATAAATAAATGGGGTTCCACTGGGACCCAGAAATTACCCATCTTGCCAAACTGGATCAGACAAGTAGAAACAACCAAGGAAAGATAGTTCTTCAAGCAGCCTGGTCCCATGCTATGAAGGGCTTTCAAAGTGACAACCAGCACTTTGAATTGCACCCAGAAGCACTGGGTGCCAGCAAATAAATCAGCTCACAAAGTAGTGGTGATACATGGGCTGAGTAGCCAGCACCACGTACGCCATTCTGCGCTAGTTGAAGCTCCTGAATGGTCTTCAGAGGCAGCTCCATGTAGAGCACATTGCAGCAGTGCAATATTATTGCAAATCTTCTGTGTGCAGTTCTTTTGGCCTCCAACAATATGTTAATAAAGTTATGGGTTTTTCATAGCATCTGAGAGATGATGGATAGGCAATATGGAGAAAAGCAACTCAGCTATATGTACAAGGTGAATGGTACAAAATGAACACATATAGTTAAAGGTAGAATGAGTTCTATTGTTGTAATCTGCTTCTACCTGATGCAGGCAGTATTTTTTGTTTCATGTGTCTCCATTTTTAAAAAACAACAACAACATACATTTTAAACAATGTGTTTGCATCTTGGAGAAACAATATAGATTTATCCTATGGATGAAATGATAACTGGTGAGGGAAACTAAGGATACCCAATGCCATGTCACAGCTATGAGATGTTGTGTGATGCTTCAGTCTGTCACAATTAAAGGGAGCATTACTTTGATTCATGGCAAAGATATACATAGCAGAGTAGACAATTTCTTACAATCCTGATTCTGATCTTGCTGCATCTCAACTATTTTCAGCCTAAGTATATAGCCAAAACTGATTGTCAGGAAGTCTTTCCAAGCCTTACCCAAAGATGCCAGATACCAAATGTGGAATCTTTGACATGCTATTTACCAGTGAGTTAGAAGTCTTTATGTTTGGTATTAAGAAACAGGTGATTGATGCCTTCATCTTTAAGGTAGACTTAGCAAGTTAAGTCCAATTTATTTCACCTATGATAAATCTGTAGATGAACTTTGCTTCTGATCTATCTGTAGGGGAACTCCAAGGATGTGCTGTTTCCTTATGGCGGAAGTCTAACATTTCCTGCCCAGAAATAGGTTCTCTACCATGAAGAATAGAATGTTTCATAAATAAACAGAATAAATTCTCCCCAGATTTCATGACCTTTGCCTCAAAAGTGGCAAAGTGGATCAGTTATTTTTCCAAAATGATGGGCTAGTTGTGTACTGATAATGCTTTTATATGTGATGGATAAACTTTAACCATTAGCAACAGACCGATGGACCATTCCCTTCTATCTCTAACACACACATACACAGAGACTAAAGACTAAATCAGTTTAAACACACACAAACCTTTTTCTCTAGCAGCGATGGTACCAAGCACAGAGGATATAATTGATTTCACAAGATGGTAAATAAAGACAGTACTTAAGTAAAACAGGAGTTGATGGTAACCTGAGGAACTATGAACTATGCCACCATTGATAATTTGCTGTTAGAAGGATTCAGAGAATATCCCATGCTGCCAGCATCAAAATTTCATCAAAATGATCTGATTTTGTCAAATCTTTGTCTTTGTGACCCTCCTCCTCCTCCTCCTCCTCCATGCAGTAAGTTATTCTTCTCTTTGTATCTTTTGTACAGAAAGAAATAAAAACTCAGTATAACAGCGGACAAGCTTCCTGTGAATTGATAGCACTGAAGACTGAAGGTACAGATAGTTATTAAATATTTTGATGCGCTTCCATTTGAAAAATCACCAAAGGATACCTTTGTTTTTGTAGAACTAGGGGCTTTACATAGAAAGTTCTTATTATTTTGGGAGATGAATTCATGTGGAGTAATATGAGAATCTGCTCTTGATGGGTATAATTGTTGAGCAGAGATCATACCTTTCTCCCCCTCCTAATTCATTCAATTTGATGAAAGTAAAATTGTTCTCAAAGAAGGGGATTTTGGTAAAATTGTCATGGATAATACGAGTGTCATATTGTTGTCTTTATTCAGTTACGAAGTAGCTAAAGATGTGTGTATATCATCCAATTTTCTCTCCAATGGTCTGCTCTCTCTATGGTTTCCCACACTTCAATTAAATCCTAAGGAAAAATATCAAAAGGGAAATATATTGTACAGTACATGATCAAGTATAGCTATTTCTGCAGAGTATGGAAAGTATGGAATAAACTGGGCTTTTATAAATCAGCATATTATGATCTTCAAATATATTATGCCCTCAAATATCCTCCTTCCATGCTAAAAAATAGAAGAGTGGAGATGGCATTGAGCCTATATTCCTGCTTTTCCCCATTCTTCCTCCCACAAAAGCCTTATTGGACGCTCAACTCAGCATTGAGGAGTTGCAGAATAAAAGTGATGACACGAGTCTACCAGCTCTTCCTCCCTATATATGTTTCCCTTGAATGGACCCATTTCACAGATAAGGGACTGTGAGTTGTAGAACTGAAGCTATTATGCATAAATATTTACCGAGATACCAAGTATTCTCATATCCTTAGCATCAAGAGAATGTCAACTCTCTTTTATTGTATATCAAGAAATACAGGGTTACTGTCTTCCTTCAGAAGGGATTTAGGGACTACTAGACAACCTATGACCTTGGGTCATATTTCCTTATTCAAACAGAGAAACAAAATGACCAAGGGCAGGCAAAAAAACAAAACAAAAAAAAAACAGTGGGAGTGAGATGACTTCTGATTTCCTGCTGGCTTCCCTATTGAGTTTCCTTGTGGGAATCTGGCAGGGAGCATCAGAAATCCCTTCCTTTCCCTACCCATGGAATGGGGGAGGAACAAGGGATTGTGAGATTGGCTGGAAAACTGTCATGAAACTTTGAAAATGAAGATCACACAACTGCAATAGCAGTCTAGCAGCAGCTCGTGGCACTGAAATAGCCACCACGTTCCCACATATCATACCCTCAGGAATCATAAGTCCTGGATTTTGGATGCATTCTGTAAGTTAGTCCATTTAATGTACCTTGGTTTAAAAATGGTTGCCCAGTGATGCACCTTTTTTCCCCAGTTAAAGGCCATTACGAGAGATTGAATAATATACAACCAGAATAATGATTGGCTGATACCTGATGGATATAAAGCATAAGAGATTTTACCAAATAAATTTTGTTCAAACTACATTTGCTCCACATAATGTAGATAGCCCATTGTTCTGTACCCCTGTACCCTCACCCATTATCTAAAAATGCCTCAAAGATTCACAAAGTCATTTGTGGCTCTTGACATAGCATCTGGGAATTGCAATCATAATAAAACATCTCCCTTTGTCTCAACAGCCTGTAAAAAAATAAAGGTAATTTAGGAGCCTTTGGTTCTTTGCTACATGTGAACCATGTGGTGTCCAGCATCATAAATATGTATTTGATTAGAAACAAATAATGGCATTAAGTAATATGTCAAGACTTGGCAATCATCTTCTCCTTGATGTTCCTGACTAGTCATGCACTCTCATCTCTGCAAACAAGTTGTTACTTTTTAAAATGTAGGTTTTTCAGACCTAGTAACATATCAACTCCAAAGTTACTAGTTTAAACCTCTTCAACTTGCTGAGAAAACCTTAGGCAACTATTTATTCTTTATTTAGTTCATCAAGCTGTGTATGAAGCGGCTTTGACTGTTTCCTTTTCTTGTATTCTCCTTTCCCACTTTGCTCCAGTGTTGCTTTTGTTGCACTTATAATTTACAGGTTCAAAGAAATCAAATTCTACCTTAAAATCTGGGGAAATATCTGGCATGGAATTGCCTATCTTATACCAAGTGCTGTGTTAAACATTTTGCATATAAATAGCTCTGCAAACTAGATATCCCAGGCTTGCATAAGGAATTTGCAGAAGCTGAGAGATAGCTTGTATATTTTCATGAGCTTGATGGCGACTTAAGAAAGACTTTGTCCTAATATGGACACAGAAATGTGGATCTTGTAGAAAGCAGATGGACTCCATCTATAATAAGCTGAGTGTACAACTGATTTGTTGTGATCCAGAAAATGATGCATGCATAGGAGATTGGCATATATTAACCCTCTTCTTACAGAGTGGGACATAGCCTAATAGAGCCTTTTTTGTGGCATGCTATTTACAACGTAACCGTAAAGTTCCAACAATGACTGGCGCACCTGTCTGAAGGCAACAAAGAATTAGTAACAGCGGCTGGGTATCCTTAAAAATACAGGTAGTCCTCGACTTATGATAGTTCATTTAGTGACCGTTTGAAGTTACTATAGCACTGAAAAAAGTGACTTACGACCATTTTTCACATTATGGCCGTTGCTGCATCCCCATGGTCACGTGATTTACATTCGGATGTTTGACAACTGATCCACATTTTTGATAGTTGTAGTATCCCGGGGTCATGTGATCACCTTTGGCAACCTTCTGATAACCAAAGTCAATGGAGAAACCAGATCCACTTAACAAATGTGTTACTAATTTTGCAACTGCAATGATTTGCTTAACAAATGTGGCAAGAAAAGTCATAAAAGAAGGCAAAACTACACTTAGCAACATAAATTTTGGGCTCAGTTGTGGTCGCAAGATAAAGACTACCTGTAGTCTCATGTGTAACCTAAATTTGATTTTGGTGTTAACTCTGTTTGAGAAAATGATTTCATGTGAGTTCTTATGGGTAGGATATTAATCCAGGATTGTATGTGACCATGATTATAACCTGTTCTGGTATTTCTTATCATAGGTTTAATTATTGACTTTAGTTACATTATTCAAAATAAGGATAAAACTTCTCAATGGTCAAAAGCTTGGGCAGGTGGGCTGGCTGAAAATTCCCTAGATATTTCCAACCCAATCAATCACTGGGGGAAATAAGCAACCTTTGGGAGAGGTGAGCTTCCAACAGGGATTAAAAAATTGGGAGGGATTCAAAGAAATGCTTAGAGACCCATTGCAGAACATGTTGGCACAGTTAAATAATTTTAGGTTCTGGAGGGAGTTTTATGCCTTCCCTGCCTTATTAGCTACATGTACTAATGCTCAAGTGTTCTATCAAGTGTGCTGTATTGAGGGGCCATTCTAATCACTTAGTTGAGTGGGAACCAGGATGTCTGCTCCAAAGTTATTATTGCAAAAACTTAGCAGAGTTTTCACAGCTACCTTGGGAAGGAGGTGAGGGCAAGAGTTGAAGAAAACGCTTAACCTGTTATTCAAAGTTGCACTTCTACACAAGGAACGTCAGTCTGCATGCAACACACTGCCATTTGTTAAAACAAGCCAAGGCTTTAGGCATTCAGGATCACAAATCTACTTGGGAGGAGTGGTCTCCCCCCCCCCATCCAAAGTAGATTTTTGTGGGTACATAAAAGAGTGCTTGGATAGGAGTTCATAGTGTAAGTAAATGACAGTGCATGTGACTTACACGTTATACTACGCCTATCTTTTGCTCTAAAACAAATCTCTTTTAAACAAATATGGCTTTCCCAACAAAGAAGCAATACCAAATTGCAGTTGTTTAAATGAACAGCATTTAGCACTTATTGCAGCTCAGCCAGGTTCCTTACACAGTGGTGAATAATAAAAAGGACTGTAGCGAACAGATTTTGTGTTCATTTATAAATCTTGATTGGATTCATCTGGGATTTTAAAGAATCTCATTTCAAGCCACCATGGTGTTAGGTCAGAAGTGGTACTCCAGACAGAATTCTATATTCAAGGGCATCAGTTGATTTGATCAAAGACTTATCAATATCTATAGCTCATTCTTTGCTTATTCTTTCTGAATTATTTGGGAAGTTTTAATCCCTGGCAAGATGCATGGGAATCCAGGTTTATGTAACTCTCTTCCTATATTCTGCGCTGCATATAACATTAATAAGCCCTCATTAACCGCATAACAGATCAATATTCCTGTCTGTCACTGATTGCAAATGGCATGAGTACCTTGTTTTAAGGTCCTCCAGCAAATTGTGCATGTACAGAAATGAACATTTGTTACTTTCAGTTTATATCTGATGCTTTTAACAGGCTGTTCTAGAGGGACCCTAGACATTGTGTGTGACTGAACAAGCTGTCTTGCTAGCAGTGTCAGATATGCCAGAAGCTTCTTCAGAAATTCATGTTCTTCTGTACAGGAAGTCCTCAACTTACAACAGTGTGTTTAGTGACCGTTCGAAGTTACAATTGCACTGAAAAAAGTGACTTGTGACTGTTTTTCACACTTACGATCGTTGTGACATCCCCATGGGCACGTGATCAAAATTCAGACATTTGGCAACTGACTCATATTTATGACGGTTGCAGTGTCCCAGAGTCATGGGATCATCTTTTGCAACTTTCTGACAAGCGAAGTCAATGGGGAAGCCAGATTTGTTTAATAACTGTTTTACTAACTTAATCAACTGCAGTGATTCATCTTAAGAAGTGTGGCAAGAAAGATTTTAAAATTGGGCAAAACTTACTTAATAAATGTCTTACTTAGCAACAGAAATTTGGGGGTCAATTGTGACAGTAAATCAAGGACTACCTGTATTTATAGAATATGTAGTATCTGTTCCCAGAAACCCTTTGGATAACAAACTGGGCTTTTATAACAATGTTGGAGAAAAACAATAGCATAACAACCAAGATAGGGAAAGGGAAAAGAAAGCCACTTATATGTAATTCTTCTTTTCTCCCTTCTCCTTGAACAAGCCAACACAGATTATTTGCACAATGAAGCAGAAAAAAGGAAGGCTGCAAAGCTGGAGAAGCAGATGGAGGAGACCACAAGGCTCCAGCAAGAACAGCAGGAAGAAGAAGATTGTCTGAAGGAAGTTCACCATGCTGAGATTCACAGACTTAGACAGGACATTCAACTCCAGGTTAGAACTGCCTTAACCTGCCCGTTCAATATGCATCTAATTAGGTGTTCATGTATATATATCCTTTTGGTTTGGGATTTAGTTTCCTTCTGTTTTCTGCACTAATCAGATTCAGATAAGCCCCCAATACATTCCTTGGGGGCACCATACAAATACAGGATTTATATGGCTCCCCTTTTGGTGTCATCTGAGTAGAGTACTTTTATACTTGAAGATGAACAACCTTGTTATATTACTTCAGCTGGTTTAAATTCGCTCTTTTTGAAGACCACATGTATGAATTCACTTGGGATCATTAAAAAAAACACAAATAAAAATGTTCACTTCTCCCTGTACATTGGAAACCTCACCGATTTCACAAGTGCTTATTTCCTTTCCTGCTATTTCCCATTTTCTCACTCTTTGTGGAGAGTGATACTGCAAGAGGAATCTCTGTGGGTTTGCCCAAAGTTGGGAAAAGTTAACCTACTTCCTTTTTTCTATTTCAATTGAAGCTGTTCAAACTGAGGACAGTTAATTTTCTTCAAAGTGCAATGAGATAGTGTTGCTTAGGTAAATATGGAGACAAAGTTAACAGCTGTATTATTTGGCTCCTGTCAGTAAACCATGGAGCAGTTTCTGCTGATCGTAACTACCGGTAGCTGATTTACAATACCTACCACCAAAGACTTGTGAGATATGAGTATCATTATTGAAAATGAACTATACTATTTCTACCTAAAGCATCATATGTTGACAACAGGACTCATATAAAGCTAAGATCCAAATTCTGCCGCACTATGACAGGAACAAATAACCTCAGCAATGACATCAACAGATGACAAGCCTGTATTCATTTATTCTTTTATACATGGAGAGTTGCCAGTTTGTCTTGTATTGAATTAAGTGGAGCCCTGCCGAGAAATGATATAATATCTTACATTGGAAGTGAACATGTGTATTGGTCATCAAAATCGCAATATCCTGAAAGCAAGGTAGAACATTTCAGCTTTCAAAGGTATTCGAGGTAGCTGTACTTCTATAAAGGAATTATTTTATTTCAAATATAACAACTAAAATCTATAAAGAGATTCAACTGTATTTCCTCTGAATTGGATAGAACAGAAATGCTTATAAAAAATTACCTGTGTAAATTTGCTCACCAATATGAATAAATGTATCACACTAAAACACCCAAATAAACCACCCAAGACTTATGTAAAAATCTACTGTCAAAAAATTGATAATTACCATATGCTCAATAATGTCATGTTACATCATAGCAATAGCAATAGCACTTAGACTTATACAGTATACCTTCCCATAGTGCTTTACAGCACTCTAGGTGTTTTACAATGTAAGCATGTTTTGCATATTGCCCCCAACAATCTGGATCTTCATTTTACCAACCTCAGAAGAATGGAAGGCTGAGTCAACCTTGAGCCAGTCAGGATCAAACTCCAGACTGTGGATAGAATTAGCCTGCAATACTGCATTCTAACCACTATGCCACCAGGACTCATGTCATCTCCTTTAATTTAGGCTATCTAATTCAAAATGATTCTGGGTGTCATTCAATATTAAATAAACAGATAAAAGATTAATTGACACAGAAGACTTGGCATACTCCTACAACAGCTCTCCTGAGGATTCTTCTATCTAAATTAGCCCAAGTTCTGAGAGAAAAGGACTCTTTCTAAGGCAGTGGTTCTTAACCTGTGGGTCGGGACCCCATTTGGGGTCGAACGACCATTTCACGGGGGTCGCCAAACAAGGCTGTCCGCCATTTTTCCCCTTTTCTTTGGCCACGCCCCTGGCACCCGGTGATGTATAAGTGGTTGGGGGTCACCACAACATGGGGAACTGTATTATGGGGTCATGGCATTAGAAAGGTTGAGAACCACTGTTCTAAGGACTTTGAGTAAGGTAGGGTTGGGGACCATATAAATCTCAGTGGAAACAATGTTCCAGAGGACCGGAGGATTAATGGAGAAGGAGTGATTCCTGGGACCCATCAGATAACATTGTCTTATCGATGGGTCCCAAAGCAAGCTAACAGTGTTAGATCAAAAGGCTAGGCAGATGCTATGGAAATAGATATTTCCTCAAATAGTTAGGTCTTATATTATGAAGATATAAGATATCATCCTGTCTGCCACAGGATGTTTATGACAAAGGATTGTACTCTGCTACTGTATTCCTTCTCACTAATATTTGATAATGCAAGTAACCATATATATCACAGCTTTAATAGAAAATAAAATAAATTATCTTGAGAGATTGTCATCATATATAGAGTTCTGATTAATTTCAGTAGTGCGTTTCTGAAGAAAAACTTTTTGGACACCAGAGACCGGTTCCATGGAGAGAGGTTTTTCCACAGATCAGAGGGACTATAGATTTGCATGCTGCTTGCAGCCCACACATGGGGCTTTACTGGTTTGCACAGACTGGTTTCTGGCATGCCATGGAAAGTTATAGACTAGAACAGGGGTGTCAAACTGCCGGCCCACGGGCCGGATGCTTCATGGTGAAACCACACTCACCCCATTGCCAGCAATGGAAAAAAAGTCACAATATTTCACAACATGTCACATGACATTGCAAGTTTAACACACCTGGACTAGAATATCCTTAATAGCCACAGATAGTTGGTTGACTATGGATATGAACTAAACACTAATTAATCTATCATTTCTCATCCGTCAAGTCTGCTTCTTTATCTCTGTGCTATAGTGCTTTGTTAATAATCAACAATTTTCCATGATAAAAACACACTCTTTGCAATTGATTCTTTTTTGGCATGGGAATCCCACCCCCTGTACTTTAAAGCCTACCAAATCTGTTTGATCTGATGTTCAAGTGGAAGAATGCTTCTAACATCATCAGTCTCTATTCAAAATTCTATGCAAGTGTATTCAGATGCAGATTCTTTAGGGTTATTCATAAAGCTGCATAAAATTAAAATGTTAATCTGGCCACTCCCATTTCAGTCAACTGAGGATTTGGGAGTGGTAATCTAGAAGAGACAATTTGACGGAAACTGTTCAAAATTCTTTTCGGATGATTATAATCAGCATGTTTTATGATAATAATGTATTTTTATTTACCTACAGGTTAACCTTTTATAGTTTTCCCTCCTTTAGGTAGAGAAGGAGGACTTGCAGCATAAGCAATTTTCTGAAAAATATGATATGCTGAAGAGAGAACAGGAGGAAACACTGCAAAGTAAGAGTCTGAAAGATGTTTATGGTATTTGTGACATTTCTTCTGTTTCTGACATTTTTTAACAAAGCATCAATGTATGCCACCCTGTATTATATATAACAAAGGCAGAACTAATAATAATAATCCAGATTAGTGTAAAACGAGTCTGTGGCAAGTCTCTGTCATTAAAGATGAAGGCTGAGAATGAAGTAACTATGGCTCCCCACATCTAGACAGCACCACATTTTATTTATTTATTTAAAACATTTATATACTCACCCCTCTTATAAACAACTCTGGGCACCTCTCAATCAAAAGTTCAAACAGCATAAAAATCATAATAACTCTAAAATTAAACATAATTAAAACATCAATAGAGTCATTGAGTGAGCTGAGTGGCCATAGAAATTGAATAAATAAATAAGTAAAAAAAGAAAAAAAAACAATAAAAACCCGACACCAAGTCAAACTTCTAATGTGCAGTTACCTATTCTTATCACTTTGGGGGGAAAGCTGGATCTGCGAAGCTTTATGGAAGGCTAAAAAGGCAGAGGCCTATCAAAGTTCAGGGGGGAGGGTTCCTTACAAATCCTTGTAATGAAAAGACACCCATCCTATGGCAATATTTAAAGAAAGGCAGTAGGAGATTGCTCATCTTATCTGACCCGGTATGAGGCATAGATGTCCTTTGGGGCTTCCCAAAGACATTGAGGATCCCTGCCTTGCAGTTTAATACTTTTTTTGAATGACAGACCTTTAGAAGAACAAGCTTCTGTTTACATATATGGTACCTGTTGATAATAATACAGATGCTATTTCTTTTCTTGATGGGCTTAGTTCTGGTGCTCTAACGCTGCTATAGTGAAGTTCCCAAGTTGTCCATTGGATCTACTGCCTCTCAGTGCTTTCCCTTTGGGTCCTACCTGTCACAGATAGTTGCACTTTATGAACAGCAGAATTCATAAGCCTTTTCTCCAGTTTTGTGGGAAGGATGCCAAAAGAGGAAAGATGGCTGAGTAACCAAAGCATAGGTAATAACCACAGAAACTCAGCAAGAAATAGCAGGAAGAATATAACCTTTATGAGCACAATTTTTAATGTCTGAGCACTTATCACCTCTAAAAAAGCTTTAATCATAATTTTGCTATGAAGAAAAAGATGCCTACAGATTTCTCTCAAAATTGGTGATGCTTGCAGGAGACCCTTTGCTCATCACTGGTATGACATATTCCCAAACCAATTTGCCCTTATTCAGTTCTTGTTCTCTATAGATAGTCCATATTCACTAGAGATGTGCAATACTTTAATAAATGGCTCATCCTATTTTTTCAGTGCCTTCTGGCTCTTTGTCCATACAATTTCCTAGGCTCACTTTGCTTACTCCATCTGCCTCCTGTATGTGACTCAAGATGACCGATTTGTCAGTCACTACATCTAAAGAAACCATGAGTACATAAAAATGGAGCTTGTGCTTTCTCTTGTTTGTATTACCTGTTTGATCTTTCTCTTGCAGAACTCCAGAAAACACATGATCAAGAGAAGCTGTTCCTAACCGAATCCTACCAAAAAACTCAGGCATCTTTGCAGGTAACAGTTTCTCTGCTTCAGGGAAATAGAAAGGGTCAGGATTCAGTACAGCGGATCAATATGGCAGCAAAAAAAGGCTATCCTTACCCCATCCCATCCCCAGCCTAGCTCTAACACAGTGACAAGTATGAATATGCATATATAAATTGCTACCAGTAAGTAGTCCTCAGTGAACAACCATTTGTTTAGCGACCATTCGAAATTAGGGCAGTACCGAACAAGGAGGTTTACCATCTATCCTTGAGGTTGCAGCCTTCGCAGTGTCCCTGAAGTCACATGATCGTGATTCAGGCATTTACTAACAGGGTCCCAGCGTCCTGCAGTCATGTGATCGCCATTGGCAAATCTTCACTGCTGGTTTCTGATCAGCAAAGTCAGTGCGGAAGCCAGCAGGAAGTTTCAAATGGCGATTATGTGACATCAACTTAATGATTGTGAGGGATTCACCTAATGACCTCAACTGGAACTGCCAATCATAAAGTTGGCACACCCCATTACCTAGTGATTAGATTTCCCAGCTCTAATTATTGTAGTTAACTGAGAATAGTATATGTTTGGGTGCTTTGTGAGTGTAAATGTGATATGAAGATTTGCATTTTTGGAATGATTTGGAAGCAGGGATGGCACTGATGCCTCTTAGGTTTTGGTGCCCTAGACCAGTGCACCGTATAGGTAGTCCTTGCTTCACCAACGGCCTAAATTAGCAACCATTCAAAGTTATGAAGATAGGAAGAAAACAGTTTTGCAACCAATATTTGCATTTACAATCATTGCAGTAATCCCATGGTCATGTGATCGCCATTTGGACACATTGCAACCAATGTTGCATGTCCCATGGTTACATGATCACTATTTGCATGCTTCCCAACTCACTTCTGGCAAGCAGAGTTAATGGAGAACACAGAAGTTAACACTGTAAGCTGCAGTCATGTGATGCATCAATTTTGAACTCTGTTTATAACAAAGTACATGGTTGGGGTTCTTGAATGCATGACAACTGAAAAATCTGTTGCTAAAAATTGAAATATGGCCTCAGAAGGTTATTGTTAATAGCAAAACTGACAGACTTGATAAATCAAATTTTGCCTAGATAACCATGTAAACTGCTAATGTATTATTAAATATATTACTTTTGAAGCAATCGCCTATCTGCCATGACAAAGAAAGGAGCCATCATGCCATTAAAGTTGCCTGTTGGTAATTACAAGACAGAATTCAGTAAATCATAGCGAAGTATAATTGTCTAATAATGATAAAATTTTGATCTCTGTTTTCATCTGCATTGTTCTATCTGGTATCTTCCCAATGTGCCTCCTGGTTGGTAATTATGGAATTGCACTTTTGTACTTCTAGAGAACACAGTGTTGGGGGATATAAATTGCATCATTCTAAGATATATTGCACTTTGAGGAATTGGTGACCATGAAGCTAGCTATAGGTGTGTGGAGGTAGAAAAGTATTATTGCTATTCTGTTGTTGTTTGGAAACACCAACATCCTAATTAATGGCCTATGGACTGTTCCAGAATCTTCTGCTCATAATAAAAGAGAAACTGGGAGGTCTTGTGACATCACAACAATGGATGGATGAATCTATAACAGTGATGGCAAACCTTTTAGATACCCAGTGCCCAAACTGCAATCCAAACCCCCCTTATTTATCACCAGGTGCCAGATGGGTGTGGCTGCAGTGGTCATGGCAGACTGGGTGGGTGGGGCCTGGGCAGCAGGGGCCAGTCCCTCACCATCTCCAGGGCACGGCACGTGTCCCCATAGAGAGGGCTCTGAGTGCCACCTCTGGCACGCGTGCCATAGGTTCCCGACCACTGTGCTATAATATCATTGGCAGAGAAATGTCCCAAAACAGTAATGTGTTGGTATAGCATTCTGACTGCTATAGCTTCTGTAACAGAAATGGCAAAAGGAAGTTTTGCCCCAAATTATCAAGGTTCTGAAGTTTTAATAAAATAAAAAGAGATATCCAGTGCTGAAATTTACTCATTCCAGCACCGTGCACTGAGTGTGAAGAGCAGGAAAAATCCAATGAAAGTCATAAAATAAGACTAATTTGATCTATCTCATCTTTCTGCTCCAGGAGACCATTGATAAGCTGACTTCACAGCTGAAGTCCTTTCAGGAGAAAATGAAACGGGTAGAAGAGTCAATTCTGAGCAGAGATTATAAAAAGCACATTCAGGTAACTTTACACTGGGTGGGATGTCTTGATCTGTTTATTTAAAGAGAGTGAATAAGAGAGTCAAAAGAGCAGGGTCTTCTGAACATACCAAAACAAAATCACAATAAAAAAATTGATGGAAGGATACTCAAATGCTTTTGCTTTCAGCAGCCATTCTGCACTGTCAGGTCATAAGAACAATTATTTTTTCCAGTTCCTATTGCTGCTTGGTTTAGTGGGCTTGAAACTGTTTACAAATAGTCCTTGAATTGTGGCTAAATAATGTGGTCATAGAGCATAATATCACATAATCATACCACTTAGCAGTGGTAAACCTGCAGTCCTTTTTGCTATTGTCATTAAATAAAAATAGTGGGTTGTTAAGCAAATATTTTCTCCCAATTTCCTGCCAGCTTCCCACAAACAAACTCAGCACAGAAGCTGACAGGAAGTTGCAAGACCCAGGTGGCTTGCAAACAGGACAGAGACAGGCAAGTGGATACTACTGGGTGGGAGAAGGAGCAAGGGAGTGTGAGGGTGGCTGGGGAGGGTGTGCAAGCATACACAGATTGGAAAAGGACACACAGCAGAGCATGGTGGAGCTTGGGGTGACTGCTACTGGGTAGGGGAGGGTACACAAGGTTGTGCAGATGACCAGGGAGGTGTGGCACAAGCACACAGGCTTAGAAAGGGTGCATAGGGGGGAGAGACTTACCCAAGCAACATACAACCTTCTCCACCAGTTTCCACATCAGTTTCTGGGAAGCCAGCAGGGAAGGTTGCAAATCACAGTTACCTGATTGCAGGATGCTGCAACTCTTGTAAGTGCAAGCCAATTGTCAAGTTCCTAGATCGCAATTACCTGTCGGCAAGGTGTTGGTATGGCCAGAATTTCAAGGAACAATCATAACCACTATTCATGCAGTGCCACTGTAACTTCAAATAGTTGCTGAAAGAGTGCTCATTAAACAAGGACCGCTGCTCTCATTCTAAAAGGCTTAGGTCAGGGGTGTCAAACTGCCAGCCCACAGGCCGGATGCATCATAGCGAAACCGTGCCCACCCCATTGCCAGCAATGGAAAAAAAGTTGCTATATATCATGACATGTCATGTGACTTGCGAGTTTGACACCCCTGGCTTTGGTGAAGTGGGGATCATCTGGATCTCTGTGGGAATCTCATCCCAGAGGACAAGGGCAGAGACGTGCACTTCCAAGTCCTTATAGATGATAATAAAAGGAAATTGGAGGGTGCCAACCCTGCAGGATTGAATCAGCTGAGCAGATACTATGGGAAACAGCCAATCCCTCAAGTAACCAGGGCCTATGCTATGTAAGGCTTTATAGGAAGCAATCAGCTCCTTGAATCATACCTGGAAGCAAATTGGCAACTGGTGCAGCTCACATGGACCAACAAGGCATGCCCATTCCTGCTCTGGACTAGTTGAAGCTTAATGTCTTGTTTTGCTAGCTATTTTGACAACTTATACTAGAAAAAAAAGAACATAGCCCCTACAAACAAATAAATGCATTTCTCCCTTTTTTAAAATAAAAATCTTTAAAGGACTATGGGACCCCCAGCCAGTTCTGGGAGCAAGAACTAGAGAGTCTACATTTTGTCATTGAGATGAAGACTGAACGCATCCACAGCTTGGACAAGAAGCTGCTGAACCTGGAAATAGTGGTGGGTTACTTCTATCAATTCTAAATGTAACTGAAAAGACTAATAAAAGAGCTGTGCTGTGCTTAAAAAGAGAGAGAGTGAGAATCACCTTTTCTAATTTTGTGCCACTGGATACTGTGGAATAAAAAGATAGGAATATAGACAACTACCTTCCAAATGACCTTTTTTTTTTCATGACCCAAGTCATCTAATCTCACTATTAAAATGAAGAATGATTTGAGAAAGATGCAATAGGAATGGGCATTTTCACCTGTTTATGTATATGCACTGTTCCCAGTGGACTGTCAGTCCATCAGTTTTCTCTTCCTGGCCATTAGATAAGCATAGAAATATCTCACCCATCGGTAGTCATGTACCATTCCTAAGTAGGGATGCCTTATCTCACTCCTCTGATTTGTGGGGAAGTACAACAAAGCCCTTCCTTCTCCAGAATGAGCAAGAAACCACAAGCCATATTAGGATCCCCTTATGCAAACCTGCCATCCCCTCCTTGCCTTGGGAGAATAGCAGGAGCAGGGAGGCGGAATCTGGTCTCCTCCTACAGCTTCATAGACTGCCCTTTGCAAGACAAGGCTATGATTCACTTCCACTTCGACAGTGATACTTGTTTTCATTTTGCACAAAACTTCCCAAGTACAATAGTAGGAAGAAAGGACCAAGTGACAGGGTAAGCATCGAGTGGCTATGTTGACGGATCACTAGGTGTCTCAGTTCTCTTTGGGAGCAGATCCTTGTAGAACTCAAGGTTACATCACTAATAATACTGAATATGTTTTATTTATACTGGTAAGGATTCTTCAGGGTTATGAAGAGCCATTTTTCAGCCCTAATTGGAGCTGTTGGGAATTGGGAACTATATCTGGAACCTTTGACCTTCCCTAAAAATCATGTGCTTTTTCATAAAGTTACATGTTAATGTTTGGAGTTGTAATCCAAGACTTTTGGAAGGTGCATTTGAGCATGAAAAATACTTACAACCAGTAATGTTCTTCCGTTTCCTACAAAGGGCAAATGATTCCCAATTCTCTACAGATATGAGGGCAGAGATCAGAATTTTATTAGTGCACTTAATCTACAGTTTCCAGGATGCAAATATGTTTAGGATGGTCACATTCCCATAAAGTTCTACGGCTTGCTACTTGGTCTTTGTGTGACTGTGACCTTCTTGCATGGTATACCTTTGTTGTATTTGAGGTTTGCTCACCCTACCTGTATTCTTTTAGATGGAGTCAAACTTATTAGTTGAAGAGAAAATTAAAATTCTACAACAGGAAAATGAAGATCTCCAAGTACGGATGCAGAACCACATGACAGTGACAAGGTGGTGTCTTTACTACAGTGATAATCCTTAAAAGGGGGTTGGACTAGATTAGCAGGGGGTTGGACTAGATGACCTTCAAGGTCCTTTCCAACTTGATCATTATTATTATTATTTATTTGTTAGATTATCTTACCTTTAATACTTTATAAATAACTCAAGGATCCTATTTTCCCCACAACAAAAAAAACCTGTGAAGTGGGTGGGGGCCAAAGAGAGTGTTTGGCCCAAAGTCACTCAGCCAGCTTTTATGCTTAGGGCGGAACTAGAACTCAGTCGCCTAGTTTTTAGTCTAGTGCTTTAAATCACTAGACCCAAATTAGCTCTCATTCAAAAATGATTCCTGTTTGATCAATTTTCTGTATCAATGTAATCTGATGACTATGGGAAATGTTTTTATTCGACAAAGTCTCATGGCTATTGCACTTAGTAGCATTACAAACATGTGAAGAATTACTAAATGCTTGGGCAATGTTTTTTTTAAAAAAAGATCTTTATTTTTAAGAATGTATTATATGTCCTTTTCTCCCCAGTTAGTAATTTCTCCTAGTAAAGTTGAGTGAGTGTTTTGTGGCTTCCATGTGTTTTTAAACTGCAATCTTCCATTATTCCTCCCAACTAATAGACTAGCAGGACTCATACAACACTCTAAGCCATAATGGCATTATTCTGGCTTTGTCTTAAAGTGTTTTATGACCCCAGCCGCTATAGTTTGGAAATCATGGTTTATGGCTTATAGTGATGTATTCAAGAAATTATGATTAAGGAAATCATAGCCTAGCATCTTGTGGAAACTCAAGCTACATTGATGACAATTGAAGTTCAGTAACATTTGAGGAGCCACAAATAACAGTAGAATCTATAGGACTTTCTGACTCTGGAATTAACTGGGATTGCCATTTCTGTTGCCTCAGGGATCTTCCTCCAGAAAGCGAGGCTTGGGGTTTGGGGACAATGCAGAGTATCAGCAATTTTAAGGGATCAATTGGGCATCTTAAATATCTTTAAGGAATCAAGAACCGGTTGTGCTAATCCCCAACCCCTCACCAATGCAGAAAACAATAAAAATTATTAGATCCAATTAGAAAGACTTTGAAGGCCACAAAGCCTTCAAAGCCTTTCTAATTGGAAAGGCTTTAAACATAACCACTAAGCTGTGCAATTAGTACACCTGGTTTATATAGAACACGGGTGTCAGACTCGCCACATCGCGTGACGTGTTGCGATGTATCGTGATTTTTTTTGCATTGCTGGAGCTGGGGTGGGCGCGGCCTCCGCATGCTGCCACCAGCCTGTCAGCCGGCATTTGACACCCCTAACAGAGAAGAAGTAGCAAATCCTTGTAATGAAAACTGATGCATACTTCTTTCTTCCTATCTGTACAATGTGGTCTAAGAGCTGTAATCTTTACCATGCTTTAATAGGCAGCTGTCTGATGAGCTTCTGACCATTCGTGAGGCCCTGGAGAAGGAGACCCAGCTGAGGGAGCAAGCTCACCGAGAGAAAGAGGAGCTCTTGTACAGGGTGCTTCATGGCGATTCAGGCCACCCCCTTGCTATTTCTACTGAGACATCACTCATTGCCACATAGCACTTTGAGAGGCCAAAGACACTGATGTGGTATAAAAACAGAAGAGGAAAGGAGACCACCATGTGACTGTTTCGTCCTTGCATTCTACTCCAGAGGTGTTCAGATATTTTTTATCCCATGGACTAAGGTGGTCTTCAAGGGACATGCCACAGGTCACACTCCTCCCAGACAAATGAGGGCCAACTTAAGAAGTGGGAGCAGAGACAACATTCACATTAAATGAATTAAATAATTCCCATTATTTAAGAATTTTCCATTTCTGCCACATTAATAATTGCAATGTAGAGGGGATCATGCCGAAGGCTGGCAGGGAGGGATTGGATCCAGGTTGTATACCTCTGTGCTGGCCATGGTGTTTTAACCTAAGGACAATTCTTGTTGGGATTTTCTTTTATGCCCTTGTTCTTTGAAATCCTGATAAATGGGATTTTTTCATCTTCCTTTCAATAGTGGCCAATTTCAGTGCTAGTCAGGGAGGTCACCCTTCGGACGTTTTGTCATATATAGCAGTCAGGTCAGGTCTTTCTCTTCTTCTCCCAAGAAATAGTGGAGTTAACTACCTCATATAATAGACCTTGTGAGGGGGTAAAAAAATTAGAGAAAAAGGAGTAGGAATTACAAATACATTGGCACTTCACAGTCGCACAGAGATACTAGAGTAGATAAAATGAAAGATTTACAATTGATTTCAGCTGATGGAACTAGAGTTAAACCAAAATTCTAAAGCAGTTGGATCTTAAACCAGTGCTTTGTAAATTTGAACTGATTTGTAACTAAGTTCCCCCATTGCGTCTTTTTTCTGCTGTGTCTCCATGATATTTCTTCATCTTGTCCCTGGCTCATGTGTGACTCAAGCTTAAGTCATCCTTAGCTGTGCTGGGATTAAAGCAGTACAATATTTTCACCTTATTCCAATCTGGTCAAGGATGACCTTTCCTGTCTAGTAAAATCAGAGGACTAAATGAGTAGTACTTTAAAACTATGATAATTGCAAGACTGTCACGATAGAATTAGGATAGGAATTACCAGTGAGGCAACAACTTTATGATTTTCTACTCATTTAAGGATGGGCGGATAGCACTTAACATAGTAGTAGAGAAAGACCTTAAAGAAGAGGTTCTTAACCTGGGGTGACCGCATCCTCAGGAAGTGTGAGAGGGAATTTCAAGGGGTGCAAAAAAGTCATAATTATTTTTTTAGGGGGTGCAAATATTGAACATTTGCTAGGGGCATGGAGCATAGAAAAAATTGGAAACCATTGCTTTAATGCAAGATGTTGAAGTTTTTCCTGCCTCATGGGGTTGCTTAGCCTTGATCACCTTTCATATGGCTAAGAAAAGATTTTAAAAATTAACTCGGTTATGTGAGCTTGATTGTTCTGGATCTCCCCATTTTCTCTGTTGTTAGAATTATGATCAGTTACTGCCCACATTCTTTTATTATTTCACTTTCTAGAACAAAAAACTGGTTCTCACAGATTTGGAAGACAATGGGAAAAAAACATCATTTTAATTCATTTGCTTCTAGAATCAAACTCTTTTGTCTTCTTTGACAGGGTCTCTCTTTGCTAGTTCAAAATTTTGAGAATGGTATATTAGAAAGGTTCTCAAAAATTGAACAGAAATCGAAATTCTTATTGTATGACTGTTTTGTAAAGCTGATAAATGACAATGCCCTCTACTGATTGTAGGGGGGTGCTACAAGTTACATAAAAAAGTGATTGTCAGATTGGAAGAACTGCTATAGGCATGTAATAATTTAAATTCAAAGAAATTGGATGTTAAAATGTATTGTTTTAATGAAGAGATTAAATTGGTGTTTATTATAGTTCTAGTGCAATGTAGACACAGAATGAAGTGAATAAATATTGGTACTTAGTACTGCTATATATTCAAGGAAATCTGATATAGTTTTATCCTGGAAAAAAACATTACAAAGATTTAACTAACTTCTGAACTGCCCTCTAGCTAAATACAATGTTCTGTGTGCTACAAAATCTGATTTTGGAGTGATTTTCTCCAACATATAATAATTTCTATCAGACTGACCTAATTGTTCAGGGCAAAACTGTTCCTAGATCATGAGAGTAATCTGGTCTAATCTGCCCTGATCAGGCCACATATGGAATATCAAATCCAGTTGTGGCATTGCAGTTCAAAAAGAATATCATCAAACTGGAGCAGGTTCAGTAGAGAGTGATCAAGGTGGAGAACAGATAAAGGATCTTGTTATATTTACAAAGGGAGGGGAGATATGATACTAGCCTTCAAATATTTGAGGAGCTATCACACAGAAGAAAGAATGGATTTATTCTCCATTGCCTAATAGTACAGGATCATAACCAATGGATTAAAGCCACAAGGAAGTAGATTCAGGCTAGATAGGAGAAATAACTTTCTGACTGATGTCCTTTGGTAGAATAGGCTGCTGCATGAAGTGATGAGTTCTACCTCACTAATAGTTGGTCAGTTGTTAGAGATGTCTAGTGGATCCTGTATCAGCAGGAACTAGATGACCAAGTTGTCCTATGACTCTAGGAAAATTCCATAAACGCTCTCCTTATTCAACACCAGCACTTACCACAGGAAAGACTAATGCAGTAACTGATGAAAAATGTCCTGGGTAACATCACTCTGACCATTATTTTGTCTGGTTCTCTTGAGTTACCATATTGGCCAGCCTAGTTCTCAAGAAGTGAGTTTTGTAGGAACATCTACTGTGTTTTGCAGAATGAAAGATTTATACAAAGGAATGTACAGGCTTATGAACCATGGCACTACATTATGCCAGCAAACAATGGATAAAGGTGTCCTATAAATATTCAAGCCCCATTGAACATAGGATTGCAGCTTGCAAGACCAAGTCATATACCTGGGTTCCGAAATGATGAGGTAATAAAAGATAGGAATACCTTAATGAAAAACCAGCAGGTGAGAAGTCATCTCCAGTGCAACAGACAGAGTTTTGATCCCATTTTCATCAATCCCATTTACTACTGTAAACTGTGTTTTATTTTTCTGATCTTGATACTCTGGTCCAGGAGAGGCATTTGGTTTTGGTTCTTTGTTTGCTACAAGAGTTAAAATTGGGAATTTTTTTGCAGGGAGACATTTTCATATAATTGCAAATAAGTATGAAACACTGTGACATGAGTAATATTTGAAATGGTCATCATAGCTCCAATGCTTACAAAAACTCTGGGAACAGTTCAGATTACATAAAATATTTATTTAATTTCACTTTTATTATTTTTATGAATAATTTATAAAAAGTCACTTTGGATAGTGAGATGGGTGACATATAAATTTAATAAATAAAATAACTCAAAGCAGCAAACATACCTAATACTCTTTTGTCATATTTTCCCCACAACTCTGTGAGGTAAATTGGTAATGAGAGTGATTGGCACAAGGTCACCCAGCTGATTTTCATGCCTAAGGTGGGACCAGAACTCACAATCTCCTGGTTTTTAGCCTAATGCCTTAATCACTAGACTCAACTGACTAGAATCACTAGATCTGAAATACACAATTCCAGATAAATAACAGATGGCAACAAAAAAAGTATACTTTTATCTCCTTACTGCCATCTAGTGATCCAGATTTTAGCAGCTTGGTTCTCATAGCTTAATTATTTCCAGCAGTAGCCATTCAATCATATAATTGTGCCTTAGAAAACCACTTTATTAACAAGTAAATTTATGGCTTTATTGTCTATTCTGTACTTCAGCTAGAGATCCTTCAATTTACAGTATAACTAGTTACAGAACTGAGGTTTTACAAGGATAAATGGAAGTCTTATTCCTGGACTAACTCAGAAAAAGGCACAAATAAGCCACTGCTGTTTTTCCCTATATGTTTATCCAGAAAACCAGTGAATACAGTTCTTTATGAAAAATATTTAAAGAAATATTTGCATTTTTAAATATATTTTCTCAAAAAGTTCTTTGGACTTTTCCCTGAAATGCCTTTATTTAGTCCCAAATTATTTCTGTCCATATTTCCCAAACCAGAAACTCAGTTTTAATATTCCATCTATGAGCACTACTGGGGAGTGGACTGTTTTGAGGGAGTATTGCAGTCTTTCAATGTCTGCACTTCTGTGCTTATTAAGTGAAAATTGAATGTCACTGAATACATATATAGAATTGTCTGCTAGTGGGTTCTGGAAAGAACTAGTTAAACTAGAAAGAGTTGGCTGCAGCCTGCTTTTGTGCCTAAGTAATGCTGGAACAAAGCCAGACAATAAAATACCTTTGTTATATTGATGATGCAATCAAAGCCTTTGCAACTTTAATGATAAGCATCTTGTGGCAGTGTTGTGCATATTTGTCTGTATCTTTATCTATCTATCTATCTATCTATCTATCTATCTATCTATCTATCTATCTATCTATCTATCTATCTATCTATCTATCATTATCCAACTAATCATCTCACTTTAGCTCCCAAGAAATCCTTTGAACTAGTTTTTAGTTTTAGATCCAAAGAGGAAGAACAGATGCCTTAAGATATGCTACTTAGAAATGGTGGGGACAAATGATAAACGTAATATCAGAAATATTCATAAACGTTACTTTAAAATAGATATAGATATCTATTTTTCTTGTTGCATGAAATATTTTTTATTGAAGCACTCCAGAAATAATACTGTGATGTTTATGATTGAAAATATGAGGAAGGTAGTATTTGCATATTGGTGCAGCTAAAAGTGAGGGCTAAACTTGGTCTGATTTATGTTGAATTCTTGTAAGAATTGATAATGGTCCATTTCATGAAGTGCAACCATTTAGTAATGACAATACCTTCTATTCAGTAACAAAATAATATTTCTGCCCATTTCCTAAAAAAGAGACCCTCTCCTTAATGCAAATTCCAAAACCATAAGAAGTAGATATCGTGAAAAATAAAATAAATATCTTCTATTAAAAAAAGGGTTTGAGAAAGTGTTTCCAGAGACTGGAATTTTAATGAGCTATATATAAACAGTCAGCAAACTCTCTTATCCCTATTATTATCCCTACTATTGCTTTTCTTTGGGTTTTAAATTTATGCAAGCTGTTTGTGATTGTTATTATGAAAGACAGAATAATGAATTGAAAAATATAACTGAAGGCTCACATAAGACTGTAGATAAAACAAATGTGGATCATTGACAATGTAATTTTTTTCGTACCCTTATGCTGGTACCTGTAAGAAAAGGAAATTATTTAGGGGTGGGCTAACCAGCCAGCAAGAGCAGTTATTGCTTATTGTTGTTTTATTTTACTTTTAGCCATTCTGAGAAATCAGCCATATCATTATTCATGGATTACGATAGCCTTCTTTCATTTTTCAAAGAGAATAATGCCACAGAACACTTGTAGACCAAAGGTTTGAAAAAAACTATTCTGCAAGGCAAGCTCACTTCACCACCTACTTCCTGTCCTAGATAGCCCCAAGTGAAAGCAACAGCAATTTCTGGCTCTCCAAAACAGTACAAGGGACACTGCAGTTGTTTCTGGTCTGAAAGGATGCTGAAAAGGGTTGCTTGATTTGGGAGCTGAGGAGGATTTGAAAAATTGGAAATCAAAAACAAATATGTGTCCTTTTTTCCAACACTTTGGCCATCATATATTCAAATATATCAGCTGCCTCTACACTGAGAAGTGCCTAATCCTAGCTATGAAGATACCAAAATGATGAAACATTACAGAAAAAATATGTAAGGGGTAGGGAATTTACAGGATGATGTTCATGTTATTCAAGCTCCACCATTTTGATATGTGCATGGCTGGCTCAGGAATTCTGAGAGTTGAAGTCCACGAGTCATAAAAGAGCCAAGGTTGCCTACTCCTGACCTAGAGCTAGAGCTGACAACTGTAACAAAATAAAGGCACGGCACAGGTCAAGACAAGTCTGACAAACATACAACAAATCCTCCCCCCTCCCAAATAAAGACAAGAGGCACAATAAGGTGGAATCTGGAATTCAAAGCACCATACGAGGTAAACATGGCAGAACTGAGACTTGAACAGTTGTTCCCACATTTTTTTTTCTCAGGGAGGGAGGCCAATTGAGCCAGGCTGAACCATCTCCTAGAAGCACAGTTCAGCTACATTGCTCATTAGAGTCTATTCTCCTGTCCTGCCTACTTCTTGACTGGCCTATCTGACATGTGAAGATCAGCCCTCTGGTTCTATATGTTTAAAACATGCCTCTGCTTGGGACAGGGTTGGGTAAACTTCAGAATCCAAAAGGCCTGTTAATAGGTTCAGGTAAGGATTCTTGCAGGCTTGCTAGACCTGCCTGAGCAAGAGTGGAGTCATTGGTTTCAACACTGCTGCAATCACCTAGCTTATGAAATACACTGTATTTGAGATTGTTGTAAATTTGGTTCTTTACCCTGTTTGGCACAAACATTTCTGCCGTTTGGGTTGTTACCTTGCTTCTGTTGTTTCTACAGCTGTTTTCTTTTTACCATAATGACATCATCAGGAGATACTGAAGTTTCATTTTCTATTTTCATACCAGAATTTTGCACCCAGATATCAAACTGGCTACATCATGTCATTCTGTTGATTTACTTTATTTTTGTTTCCTGCTCTAAGGTCCTCTTTTTTTCCTAACCATTATTTTCTCAGCCTCCTGCTTTCATTTGAGGATTCAAAGGACTTAAGCAAGCCCAGAGGCTGACTAATGGATTTAAGCCTCATTTTTTAAAACATAGATCCATATGAGCCTCAGCCCCAGTCCACTGCAGAAGCAGCCCAAAGGCACCCTTAGCTCCATGTTCAACTGAGCTTCTCTCTCTTTCCTGACACCAATCTTGCCACAAAAGCTATTAAGGTTAAATGTCTATGGAGATGCTCAGTCATCCAGGTCGTAGTTATCCCAAAGATGCTTTTTTCACGAAGCAACTGGACTTTCTTGTTTTTTCTCTGAAGATGTTTCACTTCTCATCCAAGAAACTTCTTCAGCTCTGATTGGATGGTGGGGGATGGAAAGATTTATACTCCTTGCAGACTGCTGTTGATTTGCATTCTTTTAGTGAATCGTTAATGCTACTTGGAGGCTTATCTGTGTCATCAAGGTCACCTGAGTGGTGCAAATGTGTGTGGAGCCTTCTAGGAACTGTGATCTGTGGCAAAGTTTTTTGTTTTTGTTTTGGAAGTGGTTTGCCCTTGCCTGCTTCCTAGAGTTGAGAGAGAGAGGGATTTTCTTAAAGTCACAAAGACTTGAGATTTGTGCCTAAGGTGGGACTAAAATTCAGGGACTTCAGGTTTCCAGCCTAATGCTTTAACCTCTGTATCAAACTGGTTTTCATTTCTGTTACCTATTGAGAAATAGAAGTAAACGAAATAAACCATTCCATGCCATGGTTTCCTTAAAGTCATTTTTTAAAAGTGACATTTGAATCTGGGCTGTTTATTAAATGAGTCGTTTTCTCTAAAGACAAATCTTTGTTCTTCTTCCTCTCTGTGCTGTGACAAATTCCATAACCAAAGTAAATGAGAAAACCTGCAATACATTGGACAGCAATATCATTCTTTTCCTTTCAAAATGTAAAATAAATAGAATAACCCCATCACAAACACCCTTATAAAATAACACTTAGGGTTATATAGTCTATGGCTTACTTTGTAAGTAAAATGCTGTTATCAAGATTATCAAAGTTAATACCTCATCTCTGAGTCATACAATACAGTCAAAAATTGCACATAGTACTAAGCCAAAATGTGCCTTGTTTACTTTCAATTCCAGCCAGTTGTGGTTTGTCTAGTAAACCATGGTTAAACAATGGTTCACAACTCACTAAATCAAAACCTCAACCCAAACTGTAATAGCATAATAAGTTAATAAACTGCCTTTCTTCTGGTGCTTTGGGCTGGTAGAATCCTTATTTTATGAGTTGTATATGATTTGGATCTGATGTCTTATTGTTCTGATGCGGTGCAAACAGATTTCATTGAAAAGCATCGGTAATGTCCCAGTCAGATGCATTAACCAATGTTTTAATTTAAATTTTAAACTGCTCTATAACTCCAGAAACCAAAAAAAACATAGAATAGGGAGAAGTCATTTAGACAATAGAATCTATCTCCCTGCTCAATGCAGAAATTCACATTCAACCATCTCGGACAAATGACAGATTAGCCTCCATTTGGACACATCCACTGAAGGAGAATCAACCACCCTTCTGGTTAACTGACTCCACTGTCAACTAGCTCTTTGTAACCTTGAGGAACAGAAAGCGCTGCAACCAAGACAACAGTCAGATAAGCAGGAACGGAATTTGAGAAAGTGTCTCAGAATTGACCTCCCTTGTTCTATAATCCTTTCTTCTGTTAAAGAATAAGCCATAATTAGAATTTAGTAACTTCAGTGAGATAATAATCAAGAACTTTTGTCTTATCAGGTATTCATGGGAAACAGATGGACAAATCATGATTTATTGATTTGAAGCCTACTGAGTACATTGCTAAACTTACCAATAAGCAACCATACTGAGAACAGAACCCAGGTTTCATAACTCAGTTGGGCCATCAGGAAACTATTGACTAAGATACTGATGATAGGTAGGAATGGCAGGCATGGTACCTAAATTAATACAGATATTTAGGAATTAGGCTTCAATATAAGTGTGGCTTTCTATAGGCCTCATACAATATACCAACATTCCTTTTGAGATTCCCAGACTTCCAAAATGGGTGAAGTTAAAATTGTCTGATCTTTTTCTAAGGGTGAGAGGGTGGTTAATGGATGTTTTACGCTTTGCATAGACTTAAAATATCCAATGTATTTCTTAAAATCTATGCAACCCACAAAAAATCAGATCCCTTTTCCCAGGGGGGATTGTTGAATTTTAATGAAATAAATAGATGCATACATTTTTACAGTTAACTATTTCACCCTACAAATTTTCTCTGGTTTCCCCTCAAAAACAAAAAAAAGTATCACCTCCTATGATAAGTTCCCTTTTCTACTTCTTGTCCTTTTAATCATTAGGAGCTAAATGGGGGGGAATCATAATGGTCTTTGTTTCGGAAGAAAAAAGCAGCAGTTTATGAGAATGATTTTGCTGTATTATTATAAAATAAAAATAATAGAAGGAAAAAATAAAATAAAATAAAGGGAAAGAGTGGCCCTGCTTATTTTTTGAGTTTGCTCCTGGCTTGCTATATGAAGCTTAGTGCATTGTTCTGGCTCTTGAAATTTGTGCTTTCTTTCTTTAAGAGAACAAAAACATTTCTGTATTATGGCATTTAGTTAGAGAATATGTGGCTATAAATTCTTGACTTTGCCTGATCTTTTATACTTAAGCCAAATACAGCAAGATAAATTTAATAGGGCACATCCAGGAAAAAACAGGACTGGGAAGAAAAAAATGATCCTGGACTAAGGGAATGGTAGATCACTTGTATTTTGTCAGGAAAACTACAGTACATGGACACACCCATAAAATCATCAGGATCAAGTTAGATTAAAAAGAACTGAATTATTATAAAGAAAAAACAACTAATTAATTAAAGAAATTTTAGTGTATCAGAACTGAGCCAGAACAGGAACACCTCTAAGGAGAAAGCCAAGCATTTTACTAGGGCAGTGGTGGCAAACCTATGGCACGCGTGCTAGAGGCGGCACTCAGAGCCCTCTCTGTGGGCACACATACTGTTGCTCCAGCAGAGTTTGCCAGAGTAGCAAACACATGGCGTTTGGAAACGACAGGGCAGGATGTGAGGAGCAAGCGGCGTTGGCCCCCCAGGATGCCACGCTCACCCAGTCTGCTGTGACCACTGCAGCCATGCCCACTCAGTGGCCACCCCCCACTCCCCCGAGGGCACCTTGGCACTTTGTGATAAATAACTGGGTTTTGGGTTGCAGTTTGGGCACTCGGTCTCTAAAAGGTTCGCCATCACTGTACTAGGGGGGTTCAGCATTCCTCTGAATTAAACTCATGAAAATCTGCATATTGTAGAGGTGATTACAGAACTCCCATCTTATCCTGTCCTTATTTCAAATTACAGAACTCCTAAACAACATGCCATTATCACTATCACTCCACCCCAGTTCTTAACACCAACACTACCACTATGGGCACAGTTCTTCAAATCATTGAAGTAAATGCTAAACTATTGGAAGTGTAGAACAGCTTTGAATCATGAGAAGAACAAAAAAAAGAAGAGGCAGCTCCATTAAAAAAATGTACACTTTGATTAGAAAAAAAAGAGAAACAGAACAGACTTCAAAGAAAAGTTATTAGGCCTCCCCTTCACAGTTCTCTATGTAGCTAGCCTTCAGGAGATTCCATCCATCTGGACCTAATCTCAGCATTAACAAACTTAACTTACCCATGAAATTTCTTTTTAGCCTATCTCCATGTTGTTGTTTTGCTCCATTCTGCCATTGGAGCATCTTAGGGTGCATAAAACTTGTTAACTTTGTCATCCATTGGTTGAGAGTGAAGTCAAGTGACGGTAGTGATTTGAAATAAGGACAGGATAGAGATTGGTAATGGGAACAACAAAAATCAAACAAATTTGTTTCATTTGTAGATGCAGATTACTTCAATTAATGAATGGGTGGCTGCCCAATGTTCATACCTCATGCACATATTTGGCTTGCCAACTAAGTATTTTGCTGCTTACCATGAAATCTACTTTTTCCTGACTTTGAGGCTGTCTCCAGATGACCAGAGATGCTAGTAGAATCCCCAGCAAATTGGAAAAAAGGCAGACAATACACCACAGAGTTCCAGATGTCAAGCATGGCCATTTTGTGGCGGTCAGCACACACACAATACAGATGAAGAAAGCTGGATAGAACATGATCTGTGAAAAGCATGCAGGGGACAGGCACATTTTCCTCATACAAGACCAGACTACCCTATACATCCCTTTACATGCAATGGAAAAGCTCAAGACAGATTAGCATGACTGTTTAATCTAAAACCCTTTAGGAACTAGTAAAGCTGGTGTAAATCATTAGTTAGTTATGCCTTTTTTCTTTTTTCTAGGGTTATAGAGCTGTTTTGAATGTTGTTCAGTACACATATAATCTGGCTCTTTCTACTCCAAGTGATGGCTGTAATATTTACTCTGCATTTATGCATTTATTTGATGCAACACCTTTCTTATCTAATTTTTATATGTTCAGTGAACAATAAGCTCAGAGATAATGATGCCCAAGGGCATCAATATGGATGTTATGATTGGTCAAGGGCTAAATGAAGATGAACAAAACGAAATCTAGACTAGATAGGATGCTAGTGATCAGATTTTTATTAACTTAAAACAACTGCTTGTAATCTGAGAGAGCTTTTTGCTTTTAAACTGGTTAGATTTGGCAAGAGGAGATCACACACCATGATTATGTTTTCATTTAAAAAGCATATCTATAAAGTTTAAATGGTGTAAACTACAACAGTTAGCTTTCTAAGTGGAACATTATAATGTATGTGATTAAATCATAAATCTGCATACTTTTCTACACAATGATCTTAACTTTCAAACATTTTAAAGCTTAACTATATTCAGAAACCTGTTATAAAACAATTTGAATGCTTTGGTGGTAACATTTTGAAAATATTTCAAGATGTCTTTGTTATTTTCTATACAAAAAATAATATTCCCCTATTTTGTTTCAATTTCAGGGATTATATTGGACTAAACTTTTGCCTTTAGAAGAATAGTCAAGGGACATCTCTTTCTCTTCTCATATTGATTTTTAACAAGTTGAGTGCTTTTTAAACCTCTGTCTCCTTATTTTTCTATTTGGTATTTTATATTTTAGATGTTAGCTGTGTTGATTATTCAGTTGAACCCATGAATATGCTTGTGGACATTTTTAAAGATTATTTTAACAAAATAATTGGGAGGAGGGAGAGGAAAAAGCTGGCTATCTTCAAAACAAAATCTCTAATGTTCTTTTATTGATAAGAATGGCTTCAGGATTCCCATGGGCATCATTAGAAAATAAAAAAATAATAAAAAATAATAAAATAAAATAAAATAATAAAATAAAATAAAATAATAAAATAAAATAGTGGCTGCTGATTTAAAGAAAAGAAAAAAATATTATATCCTGAAGGGCTAGAGGTGGTGATAGAAAGCAACCAATTATCTAATGAATGTTTCTGACAGGTAATGCCCACTATTTTAATTAGGTAAGCCTTTCTCCATGACAGCCATTTTCTGAAGAGACCAAAAGCACGCTCTCAGAATTCTAAATGTGCCCAACACTCACCAAGAATAAACACTGTGTATGCCACCAGTCTGGAAGAGTGATGGGACGGAATTATATCAGGGTGTATTAGGAGGTCTATCCAAGCCATTCTGCTTACAGTTGTCTTTTCTATTGGGTCTGGAGAACCAGGATCAGGTTGGTACCTGCAAAAGTATTTAACAAAAAATCAATGGTGTCTTATTTCTGATGGAACTGGCATCTCCAGATGATGTCAGAAATATGTCAGAGCCATTGCCAATAAAATCATTTTCAGATAATTAAGAAGGCTAAGGGAGGCAATGGAGACCTATGAGCAAACTACAGCTTAGTTTTTGTGGTTTCAGATTTTGATTCAAATTCCTCACTAAAATTTTCTATGTAAGAACAAGACAGTTGGGTAGAGAGGGAAAGGGAGATGCAGAAATATGAAATTGCAAAGAAAATCTCCATGGGAGTAATGACCCTATGCTCCAGGAGCAATGCTCCAGGAGCATCAATGCTATTTATGGAAATTAACTGAATATGAAAAATAATATATTACATGATAATATATCATTAGCATTCTTCTAATATTGAGTCATTCTAAATTCAAAGAACTGTATGAATATCTGGAACTATTGACAATCATATATACGTTTTCAGTATTCTCATTTGGTACCAATAGTTACAAGTTCAGCTTATTACCTGAGAAGTAGGATGGAGACAGCAACTAAAGTGTAGGCCAGCAGTGTTCCAATAGACATAACATTAACCAAGATCTTCAGATCAAAAAGGACAGCCAGCAGTGCTGTGAAAACAGAAAACAGTGCCTACTGCAAGCAAAATCAGTTGAGTATTTTCTGTTCTTGTAGACATCTGTATAAGGACAAGATCTCTAATACTTTGCCAAAACAGCTCTTGTAAATGCTTGTCATGGTTTCAGTCCCTTGAGTTAGAAATAAGGTAAGGGAGAATTTTTGTGTGAACAGGGAGTGTACTTTGAAAATAACTCAGAGTATTCTGGACCTCATGTGAGGTGAGCACCTCTCTGCTATTCAGTAAAGCACCCAACTTCCGGATTTTTGAGTGAGACTGTAAAAAAAGGCACTATTTTAGGGAGTCAACTTAAGATGGGGTCAACAGCATCTCTAAACTGTTTTCAAAGTATGGACAGCCCTAGCCATGGTTCAACAAGGGTCAAGTTCAACTCAAGGAATATTTATCTTTATCATTATTTTTTCTGGAAAAAACAATACCTAGGCTTACCTGAAACTGCTCCAGATACCAACGTTGAAATAACTGGATTTTGTTGGCTATTCACTCTGGCCAAAACATGAAAGAGAAGTCCATCCCTGGCCATTGCAAATAAAATCCGTGGCATTGGGAACATAGCACCCAACAAGCTGCAAAAGAACCCCAAGAAAAGAGTAAAATATCCATGCTAATAACTTGTTTCCAGTGGCAATCTGCATTACATGCATTAGAATAAATTTTGCAAGAGAAAAAAATCTACAGCTTCGGAGGAATGTGAATCATGGAATTGATATTTTGAGAATGATGTACCTCCATAGAGCTTGATGACAAAACAATGTTTTAGGAAATCATTGTATTTTAACCTCCAATATGCCATACCTGATAATAAGTAAAATAAGTAAAATAATCTGCAACGTGTACTTGACATACCTGAGACACATATACCTATAGTGATTTGTTCTTACAGCGAGCAAAATGGGTCCACTAAAAAGCCAATCACATAAAGGATGGACAGGCTAAAATGTATTATGTACAGTATTTGCCCTCTTTTGTTTCATTGGTAATTTTTCTTTTAATCCTGTTCTGAATGTAAATTGCTCCAAGTCACTTTCGACTGAAGCAGTAGAGAAGCCTAGTAAAATAAACAATAATCAATTACTGTATTTTTTCTATAAAAAAAATCAAAATCGAATTATAATGAATGGCTGTAGATTCAAGATAATCAGATGGAAAGACATGCTCATAAAATGCATCATTTATTCATTTACAGAATTTGCTCTCCCAAAATATAGTGATTGCTACATATAAATTTACTGAGCACTGATCTACCAGAGCTTATTAATGACAGTTAAAGGGAACCTAAGTTTCAGAACCTTTAAAATCAATAGTTAGTGAGTCAACATTGTGTGACATGTTGCCTTCCTGCCTTTGTCATGGTTTTGGACATATCTATATGGCTATAGTTAGAAAATCCTAGACAAGATGATTGTTGTTATATTCTTAAAACATAAGGATATGAAGTAGCTCTACCTGGTTGTAAGTGCACAGAGTGACCCCACAGCAACAGCATACTTGGCTGGTCTCCATCCAATATATTCAAAAGCCACTGGCAATGGGCTTAGTGGATCCAAAAGGTGATAGGGCATCATGAGGGTCAAGGCAGCAGAAACACCAAAATATATCATGAAACAGATGAGAAGTGAGAAAACGATTCCCAGGGGGATAGATTTATGAGGATCCTTCACTTCTTCACCTGTTAAATACGGACATGAGAACCCTAAAGATCACTTTGTAATATACACTTTCATACTTCTGATTATTTATTTAATAAATGTATGAATTGTGCACAGATATAAAACCAAAATTTTGAAAGAGAAATAAAAGCCCAAAGGAATTCATCTGCTACTAGGTACCACTGTGCAATCACTCACTGGGATCAGCAGCACATTGAAATAATATGGCTTTAAGATACTTCTAGACTTAGTGAGTAAGGGACATAAATACCTCTGAGGGAAAGAGCTTTGAAAAAGGTCTATCTCCTGGGGCAGGGGGAGTGATTCTTAACACGCCATCTCTAGATGACCAGATTTCATGGGCCGATTTCATTCTGGTAAGGTATTGTCTAATTATCTTATTTCAGACACCAAAAATGTAGAGTATTTTCCATCTTCCTCTTAGGAGAACAACAGAACATAGGATACCTTTAAAGGGATCTATATCTCTTCTTGAATTCATGTCAATTTTTATAATAATAATTTATTAAATTTGTATGCTGCCCAACTCTCAACATCTCTGGCTGCTCAATAAAGTACGGAGTTTCACTCTTCCTCGCCAAAGCTCTGGGTCCTCACAGCTCATCTAAACAACAGCAGAGTGGTGGCCATTCAGATCATGGGGGGCAGGGGGGGCACTGCTCATTCCAAAAGGTAGGCACTACTACAGAAAAGGCATATTTCCAGGATCTCAATAGATGACATTGTTTAATCAAAGGAACCCAGAGTGTTTAAACTCTGTAGGATCAGATCAGCCAGGCAGATATTATGAGAAATAATTATCTCAAGTAAGCAGACCACATGCCATATAATTGCCAAATAGGAATATCAATAATTTGCATTGCTCTATACTCTTACCTATCCATGGATTAACCATTAAGCAAAATAAGTACATGCTTATGTCACCAAGGGAAGGGACACCACAAAGTCCCCCCCTCTGGTATCTTGCCCTTAACTTTTTCACTGCCATGCTCTATTTTTCAGCTCTTGTTGAGACCTGGAAGGGCCAAGGGGCATCACTATTGGACCAGGTGTAGCTAGTGGTGGGATTCAGCCAGTTTGCACCATTTCGGCAGAACCGGTAGCTAATTTTTTATTGCCCAGGCCCAGAATGGACTTCCGGAAGCAGCATCCACACAGAGAACCAGTTGCTCACATATTTGAATCCCGCCACTGTGTGTAGAACATCAACTGGCCTTAATCTGGCACTGTTCTTACCTGTAGTTGCAATGCAATCAAATCCAACAAAAGCATAGAAACATGTGGCTGCTCCAGCCAGAGTGCCTGAAAAGCCATATGGCATGAACCCTCCAGTTCCATATTTCCAGGTGTCATTGCCAACCACAGATTGGTTACTTTGAAGAAAAAACACATTAAATAAATCAATCTGAGAAAGAGCTGAATGGGTATATTTGAACCAATTGGAAAGAAAGTATTTTAAAGAAGTGTTGTTCTTCTGGGATGATCTTGGTGAATTTAACTACTAAAATCAATTAGAATGCTGTGGGGTATAGAAGGAATGTTACACTGGGAAAAGTAAAGTTCCTGATTTCTCTAGAGAAAGGGCAGCTCAGCTCACAAATGAAATAAATTCTAGCTATTCCTCTAACAATAAACAGAAATATCAGGAATCTGGTACCTTGCAGAAAACATTCACATACTTAAAAGCTTTTTCTTTTTTTGTAAACTGATTCTGAATCTTTTGAAAACATATTTTGTGGACATTTGTTGGTTTTTACTTGAGCACTGATCAGACTAGTTTCTTACCTAAGGTTACTGTCAATAAGCCTTCGCAGATCATCTTCACTTAATGTCCAATTTTTCAGGTCTCCTCTAAATAACCCACTAATTGTTATGAAGACAAGGATGACCACATTAATAGTTGTAAAGACTTTATTCACTGTGGTAGATTCTTTTATGCCTATGGAGAGGAGGCCTGTGGAACAAAGAAGGCAGAATAGGATTTGTACCAAGATCTTATTGTTGTTAGGAATTATACTTACGAATTGCGTATGGCACAATATGAAAGCGTATGTCAAGAATATCTGGATATGTTGTTGAACAAGCTCCCTTTACTAACTGAAAATACAGCTTCTGATTCTAAATAGCTTGTAACATATAATTGCCAAAAGAACCAGCTAGGGATATTTCCTGCATTATTTTATTTATTGGATTTGTGAATGCCACCTAACACCAAGAAGATTCTGAGCGCCATCCAATCAGTCTAATACATAATTTAAAAAATATTAAACCAACCAGACCAAAACAATACTCCCCAATATGCAAAAATTCAGCAGCCCCCAGGCCTAGAATCCAAGCCACGTCTTAGGAACTTCTAGAACCCAAGGAGAGAGGGAGACCTAAATATCTGTGGGTTAGGGTTCATTACAATCTTAATGGATGGGGCTACATCAAGCACTCCAAATAACATAATAATAGGTTGTGGAGATGCTAATTGTTAAAGGGACTACAGATCAGAATGCAGGTTTTCCACGTCAGATATCTTCAGTGCAATCTTCAGCACCTCCCATAGATGCTGTGAAAGGTTTCTGAAGTTCTGAAAGCAGTCCATATAACCCAAATGGAACCTGGTCTATTCTGAAATAAAGCAAGCATGTTAATATTGTTGCATGAAACATGTCTAGGAAGATAGCTACTAGAAAGCCGTTAGAAGAATCTCGTTTTTTAGTTTCTACAGTTACGCAGGGGTAGATTTGGAAAGCAAATAACAAACTTTTATTTAGTACTCTAGTACTTAGCAACTGCCAATGTCTTCTTGCAGCCTTTTCAAACCCTATTGCTCCCAATCAGTTGGAATTTAACACCCAAAATTCACATCCATGCACATATTAAATAAAACCATTCCTTGCCCTGAAAACACATGGCATGCTAGCAGGTATAGTAAACAGTAAATCTAATGAGCTTGTGAGTGGTATCTGCAGGATTGGGACAGTGTAACTGAGATTTTGATACCATCATTTGGGTCTGTCAGAGATTAACAAAGGGCACAATAAGAAGATAGATTTGTTTGCTTTTAGAAAATGGTTACCTTGATACGGGGTTGGTTTTTAACAGTAACAAGATTGAGAAACAATCGTGCAAACATACCTGTAACCAAGAAAATGAGGCAAACAGCAAAGATATCTGGATATTCAGCCAGGCCTGGGATGCTCGTGGCCAGATGTATGTTGAAAACATTCCCCAGGTTTTTACCCAAAATTTCATCAAAAGTAGCACTCCATGCTCTGGCTATACTGGAGGCTCCTACAGAGAAGAGACCAGGTAAACCAAGTATTGTCAAATATCAGGCAGAGCATACCAAACTTTAAAAGCAACATATTTTGCAGTCCAATCATCTCTTCTATGAACACACATCTACATTGCACAGGAAGATGTTGATAATTGCTGGGTTCTATGGAGGGGGAGGAGAGGAGGAGGAGAAGGAGGAAGAGGAGGAGGCACCAAAAGAAGAAGAGGAAGAAGAGGAGGAGGAGGAGGAAGAAGAGGAACAGGAGGAAGAAAAAGAAGAGGGAGAAGAAGAGGAAGGAGTTGTAGGTCCAGAGACAGCCTAAGACAAAAGTTTAGTATATGACTTGAGATGGGTGGCTATAGAAATTGAATAAATAAACAAACAAACTTACTCCATCCCTTTTAATATCCCACTCATATACAACCTAAGATGCAGAGTCCAATTCTTCTATTTCACACAGGCCCCGAATTGCACGCACACAGACAACAATCAGAAGGGGGCTTACTGCAAAGCTAACACTTCAGTGCATTTAAAATACCTTGAAATAGGAACTGTACAATGAATTGGCTTTGTGCCTCCTAGCATTCACAGGCCAATAAAGAAACCTCATGGGCTGAATTACACTAGAGTTCCCCTTGCCTAGTCTACGCTGCATGGCAGAGGATCTTTAGATTCTACAGCATTTTCAACAACGGCCTTTCCCAGGGCAGCCCAAAGATATGGAGTTTGGAAACTAAATGGGCTATAATATTGAACCCCATTCTCTCTAGAAATTCACATCTACTTAAGCTCTGATATAACTGAAATCTAACACAGTACTAGAATGGAGAGGCCCAAGCCATGATAATACCAATTACATAGGACAAGAGCAGGTTCCACCCCGTGACGAATGCACATAGCTCTCCAACTGTGATGTAGCTGTACAGATATGCTGATCCTGTTAGAGGCACCCGGGCTCCAAATTCAGCGTAACAAAATCCTGCCAAAATGGATACCATAGCAGCAATCAAAAAGGAAATGATAATGCTGGGTCCCGACGTATTCTTGGCTACTTCCCCTGCTAAGACATACACCCCTGCACCTAGAGTACTGCCCACACCAAAGGCTACTAAATCCAGGAGATTAAGGCAGCGATGCAGGTGTGATTCTCTGTAGCCATTAGCAGTTATTATTTTCCGACGAGAAACCATCTGAAAGAGGGAGATTATGGAACTCCAGACTTGCATCTGAAACAGAAAGAGACGATCCAGATTTTCTTCTATGTGTGATATTCTTTCAGATATTTAAAGAAGGCTACCATAGTCATTCCGATACACATAATGGGAGTATATGGTCCAGATTTGCTGATAAACTTAACAATTGAGCTAATTCATAAGTTATTTATATTTATCTTATGAATCTTTTTTGTTTTTATTTTTTGTCTTTTTCTTCCGTATTCAATGTATGTTTTACTTTTGTATGTCACTTTTTTATTTTTTGTTTAAAAAAAGCATACTGTTTTGCTAGCTCGAGGACTGGAGGAATGCATATTAACAAAGAAAAGAATCAGAAACTGATAAATGTTTTACATGAAAATTCTTACCCCACAAACTGCAGTTGGATGCACGGACAAGTAAATGGAAACAAAACCAAATAGCTTGAAATAATTATGTAATACTACATAAAAGCTTATTCTGTTATACTTTGCAAACAATATTTCCTTAATCATTTTAATGCACGTCATATGTTGATTCAAGTGAATGAACCTTAGAAAAAGCTAATTTGGAGGGCTGTGTAGAAAATAATCTCTTGATGGAAAAATACAAACACCATATTCAATTAACCTGAGGGTGGTCCATATAGGGCTTTAGAGCCAGTTCCAGATTGATGCAAGTCCCATGAGATTGTACAATAGTTTTTTGTAGAGCAGCTACAGCATAGTCCATGCAGAATTGCTAAGTTTATTTTGGAAATGAGCATGCTGGAACTCTGCAAAGCTTGTGTTGGGGGGGGGGGAGCTGATCATTTCTCATTCTTGGAAATCCCTTCTAACTCTGCAATGTCTTTATGCTGAAGTTTGTGAACACACAGAGAGAGAAAGCTATAAATAGTCTCTCTATCCAAGAAAAACATGTGCAGTGAGTGAGGGAAGGAAGACACTAGTTCAATGTTATATTCTGTGTTCTTCTAATGGGCAGCTGCAGAATCATCTGGAGGTCTTGGAGGCTGTGCAAAGGACAGCTGCTGGCCATTGAGAAAGTGGTGAAAAGGATCTGGGGAAAGTTCAAGAAGTGACAAGGGCAGTTGTGTATAAAAATGCTCTCAGATATTCTCAGACAAAAATGACTGAGTGGAAAAGCTGAGTCTGTTGCTGTTCTCTCTTCAGTCAGCAGGTTGCAGAGGAGTAACATAGTAGCCAAAGGTCGATTTGAAGATGGCCTTTTTAAAAATAGCCAAAAATAAATAAATAAAAGAGAATCACTTTTCATACAATAAATCGTCATGTGCCTATTCATGAAGGTGGAGATAAAATACTGAAGACTGATGCTTCAATCAGAATGATCAAAGCTAGGCAAATTAATTTAACTGCCAGTTATTTAACCTGAAATCAGGTATTCTTTCTCATTTGTTCTTGATCAAGCAGAAGAAAATGCTTTTGGCTAAGCTTTTTTCTTGATCTTGCTTTTTAGCAATTAATCTACTTGCACCTTATTTCCTTTCACACTTCTGCAGATTTTCAAGATGCTCACTTTAGATCCTAAATATAGATTTTGGTTTGTAAACATGCCAAATCATAAAGGAGTGTTTGTAGAAATGAAGACTGTTATTTCAAGTTCATCTAGCCATCTAGTTTGTTTATAACATTCCCAAATCAACATTCTAATCATTCGTTATCTGTTTACAGCAGTGGTTCTCAACCTTTTTAATGCCGCGACCCCCAACCAGTCGTAAGTCGAGAACTAAACCGGTCGTAAGTCAAGGACTAAACCGGTCGTAAGTCGAGGACTACTCAACCAGTCATAAGTCGAGGACTTTCCCTGCCCGGGAGTGCCGCACATGCGTGGTGCCGCCCCCTGTGCCAGCCGAGGCGTAGCTGGCAAGCGGCAGAGACAGAGCAGGTCGACCACCGGCTGGGCCACTAGCTGGCCCAGCCCAAGGGAGGTAAGGCACCCGCCGGAAAAAGGGAAAAAAATGGCGGACAGCCTTGCTTGGCGACCCCCGTGAAATGGTCGATCAACCCTAAATGGGGTCACAACCCAAAGGTTGAGAACCGCTGGTTTACAGTTCGTTCTTGACGTCCCATCACAACTGAGATTACTGATTACTGATCAAAACTGTACTTAAGTGAAATGATCATGTGACCGCTTTGTTCAATGACCACAATCCTAGCTCTCCTAATTGTGATGATTAAATGACTACACAAGGCTGGCACAGGGGGTGAGGGAGGCTCTGGGAGACCTGCCACCTGTAACTGTCCCTGTACCTTTTAAAGTTTAGAGCCTGTCTAGTGGTTAAGACACCAGGCTAGAAAGCGAGAGATCACGTGTTCTAGTCTTGCCTTAGCCATGAAAGTCAGTTGGGTGTCCTGGGGCCAGTCATTCTCTCTCAGCCCAACTCATCTAACAGGGTTGTTGTTGTGGGGGAAATAGGAGGAGGAAGATATGTTGGATATGTTTCCCACCTTGAGTTATTTGTAAAAATAATAAAGGCAGGATACAAACAGATAAAATACAGGCCCACAGGCATGTGGAAACTGCTAAAGCTGGGAGGCCTGGCCCCTCTCCATATCCCACTAAACCAGGGGAGACAGGGCCCTCCCCCCAACTCACCATATTGGGGTCTACTTACTTTTGCCTTTTCCTACCACTGCTGATAAAGCCTTTCTAGCCTATAAAATGATTGCCTTCACTAGCTTTCTGGCCTGAAAAGAGCCTTTATAGCCTTTGTCCTTCTAGAACAAAAGAGAAAAGTGCCTTTCTAGCCTTCAGAATTTTTCTTGCCTTTTTGGCCTAAAAGCTAGTGAAGGCGATCATTCTGAAGGCTAGAAAGGCTCTTTTCTGAGTAGAAAGCCAGCGAAAGCGATCATTCTGAAGGCTAGAAAGGCTCGTTCAGTAGCTGCAGAAAAAGATACAGATATGAGAACTCGGGGATGACAGGGTGGAAATAGGGCCTGAGTGGTGGAGAAAGCTAGCCAGGGATCAGGCCAAGGCCTAAAGAGCCATGGCAACTTTGTGCATGCCAATGGGCCAGGTGGGCTGCTGAGATGGAGGAGAGAGATAGGCAGTTGGGGAAGGGTGAATTGCTGTGTCCCTGCAGTTGTAAGGGTGGGCACCCTGCCAAATGCTCAGATTTTGATCATGTGACTGTAGGGGTGATGCAACAGCTGTAACTTCAAGCACAGAGTTAAACAGACTCAAATGGACATTGAACGAACAGTTGAAAGTCGAGGACTACCTGTATTCCAAAATACATTTTTAAATTCTTAAACTTACATGAAACTTCTTTTGCTAACGATTGTAGGAGATTCATCCAGTGTATGAAACTTGCATTCTGAAGGTTCCTAATACTGAAAAAGCAGGTAACAAACCATTTCCAAAACTAATTAAGAAAAAAAGTATGCAATCTTTTGAGGATGCCAAATCATGGCTTGGGCCAAGATGGTGAGCCGTTGGCTCCCAGAACAGTAAACTCGCTGCCTTATGTCTCCTTGCAGGGAGTTTTTCTTCCACCTTTCCCAGCATTAAAGCCTTTTCTAGAGAGCTGGGTCTTTGTATAATGCATCCCATATACAGTAGAGCAATCTAATTATATCAAGGAATTCGTTAATCCTTATTGCCAAATAATCATGGACAATAGCTCTGAAATGTTATTACAAAAATGTATTAATTCCCCAAAACAGGGTAAAGTAAAACAAGTGTTGATTTTTTAAAAAATCAGGTATCAATGTAGGAGATTTTCAGAAAAGGCAACAGAATTATAATAGAGATATGCTTTAGAGCTGGGGTCCCCAGCCCCCAGTCCATGGTCTGCAGCATGCCAGAAACTGCTCCGTGCAAACAAGTGAAGCCCCATCTCCAGGATGCAGGCAGCACATGAAATCATGCCCCCTCTGGTTTGCAGAAAAACCTCTCTCCATGGAACGGGTCCCTGGTGCCACTGCTTTAGAGCAACTTCCAATCTGGTGGTTATAATTGCTGGGAATGATAGCAAAAAGTAGTTTAACATAAGTGGAAGATACCAGGTTGGGAAGGCTACTTTGAAGGAGGAAAGCTGCTTTGGAATGAACTGTGGATTCTCGCTTTGGAATAATCAACAGTTAATGTTCATGATGAGAAGTAATGAAAGGTAGTCTTTCCAATAATGTGAGTTAGACAGATGCTCAATTTTCCATTCCAGCCTGCATTTTTAGAGATAAGTTACTTGTAGGTTAATCAGATTATTCTTCCTTTTTCAGTGAATTTAAGAAAACCTACACCTAGAAGACAGGGAGGAATTTATGGTGGTGGTAGTAGTAGTAGTAGTAGTAGTAGTAGTAGTAGTAGTAGTAGTAAAGTTGGAAGGGACCTTGGAGGTCATCTAGTCCAATTCCCTGTTCAGGCAGGAAACCCTATACCATTTCGGACAAATGGCTGTCCAGTCTCTTCTTAAAAACTTCCAATGTTGGAGCATTCACCGCTTTTGGAGGCAGGTTGTTCCACTGGTTAATTGTTCTAATTGTCAGGAAGTTTGTCCTTAGTTCTAGGTTGCTTCTCTCCTTGATTAGTTTCCATCCGTTGCTTCTTGTCCTGCCCTCAGGTGCTTTGGAAAATAGATTGACTCCCTCTTCTTTGTGGCAGCCCCTGAAATATTGGAACACTGCTATCATGTCCCCCCTAGTTACCAAGCTACTGTTATTATGAGAATGAAATGGCTGCTCTGCATATGGCATAGAGTTAGTATACTGCAATTTACAGATTCCAGCATTCAAAACTAAAAACACAAGCAAACCATGTATGCCACATCAGAAGAATGAAACATTCAGTGTTATACTTTATTTAATGAAACAGCATTTGCTGAGGGAGGGGGAGGCAAGCAAAGCTAAGAGATCATATTTCATTGAGCCAGAAGATACTGTTCTTAAAAAAAAAGTGGGAAAATTATAGTTATCCATATATGGTCATAAAGTTAGATTTAGTGGGATGTTGTCTTTGATTTAAGTCACGTGACCCATCTGTGGTTTTTGAGCTCTTGTCCTTTGCTGCTGCTGCTGCTGCTAATGCTTACTAGCTCCAAGTATGAGGAAAGTCTTCTCTGTTGGGGCCTCCCTTGACTTTTGGCAAGCAGGATCAGTCCTACTGTTAGGCTAACTGGAGCTGTCAATTCTGACAGCTATTTTGGAGTAACCTCAAATAGATAGTTAATAGATTTGTTTTTAGGAAGGAAATGTTTTTCTGCCTTAGGTGTCAATAAGAACTTGGTTATTTCTTGTGAGTTTTTCACTTTAGAAAAGGGGGTATTTCTTTTTTCTACTTTCTACTTTCTGCTGCAGCAAAAGCAACAACTACTACTTTTCAAAACTTTTCAATAGCATCATCTTGCAGGTTATGTGGCAATACACAGCATTCTTCCAGGCTGTTGAATCTACTTTCCATTTTAATTTTCTTCAGTGCTTCAGAAGGATGCTACATCAAAAACACAATGGAAATTAAAATGGCATCTCCATTATTCATTATCCATGTTAGATGGAGACAGAATTAAAGAAGGCCAGGACAAATCTCTGTGGTGGGTTCATGACAACTCCTCAAGGATGCTGGACCCAGTCCTAATTAGGTTTTTTAGATATTCGTATCATCCTACCTGGATAGTATAATTTGACTCAGTCTTCCCCAGCCTGGGCCCTTCATGACCTATCAACTCAAAGTGATTTTCTCTGGATATATTTTCTCTGGATATTCTGTGTATTAGTCTAAACACCTTCTTGACACAATGGAGGCAAGTGATTAAAGTTTAAAGATTGCATTTTTATTTAAACCCAAGGCACATAATAAATTTCATTTTCCAGCATTCTATTGCATTCTGTTAAGGACTAAGTACATTTTTTGTGTGTGTTAGAGGGGGCCATTCATATTCTTGCTGTATCCTAACCTCATGAACATGCTTCCTCAGAAGCAATTCAACAGAATTCCATCTGCTGGGTCCACGTGCAGAAATTGTCTCCTCTCCCAAATCCCTGAGAGAAAGGCGATCCCAAAATTGAGACAAGATACATCTATGCAAGCCATTTTCCTTACTGATGTGCTCTGGGTGGTATCTCTTTTCCCGGCAAGTTAGAGATGTGGAAAAAGAGGCTCGCCCGCTATAGCGAGCGTGGCGTTCTCTGCAGCAAACATCGTTCTCTTTCCCCCGAGAGGGGAGCGAGGGTGGTGCCAAGGGCCGGCCAGAATTGGAAGATTCCGAGGCGTGTGACGTCGCGGCTCTAGCGGAGCGCGGAGGAAACAGCTGCATTGCACCGAGGCCGGCCTGCCTGCCTCCCTGCCTGCCTGCCTGCCTTTGATCCCTGCCCTAGCAAGAGCCCGGTTGCTTAGCGGTGGATCCTGCGGCCTCTCCTTTCAACAGCCTTAGAGAGCAGAAGAGGCGTCGGCCCAGCAAAGTAAGGATTTGTATGCCTGCCTATAGCTCTCTCCCTCTCCCTCCCTCCCCCCCTCCTCTATGTTTGTGTGTGTGTGTGTGTGTGTGTGTGTGTGTGTGTGTGTGAGAGAGAGAGAGAGAGAGAGAGAGAGAGAGAGAGAGAGAGAGAGAGAGAGAATATGAACAATTCAGCAATTGTATTGGTAACAGCTGCTAAACAGTTTTTATTTAGCAAACTCATAAACGGGGAATACTGCCACATCGATTCACATAAGGGGGGGTTGGGACTCATCGTTTGTCACTGTTCTCTATAAATGTATATTTGTAAGGCGCCGGCGAGGTTGGCTTACACTCAGGCTAAGCATTGTTCGGTGATTCTGTCATAGAGAACTTTTTCTTTTCTTGCCTTTCTTCTTTTTCTTTTTTAAGTCTTTTATACGTGGGAAGAGACGTTACTAAGTTATTTAGGATGGTCTTGCTGAACTAAGGAAAATCTTTTGAGGGATTTTGTCAACATGGTTACAGCCAATGAAAATGGTTCCAATAAATTGATGATTTTTCCCCCCAGTGTAATTCAGTCTTTGCATCCCTTCATCCAAACAAAATAGTTATTTGTTTAAACTGTAACCAACTTCAAATCTGAGAAGTGAAATAGTATCATACATGTGTAGGATCTTGAAAAAAAATCTTCATAAACTTTTTGTAAACTGATAAACTAGAAGAATGCAGATACTGCCTATTTGGGGGGCTTTATTTCTGCTAGTGTTGTACAATTGCATTTGAAAATTGTCTTTACCTTTTTTTTTTTATTAATAATCAGGCACAGTTGAAATCTTGTGGGCCCTTTTTGAGGGAAACCATTTTTGGCCTTATCTAAACTTCAGGAGAATGTATTTGGCAGGGATTGTTAGTTGTAGGAATTAAACCTCATGAAATTAAGTATCGAAAAAGAATAAATAAATAAAACATTTATAATGTTACTTCTTTTTGCTTTCAAGGCTAATTATTTTCATCTCTGAAAATTATTACCCGATTGATTTATTTGGGGAATTTTACCCGACTATGCTCTCTTCCAAATGTTCCACAGAATTTCCACACAGGATGGAAAAGACTTTATACCATTTAATACAGAATAATATATTTTCAGTTAATATGCTTGCCATATGTTGGCAAAGGAGTCTGATAACTCTAAGCCCTCTATTGCACTGGTCCCCTTCTGCTTTCTAGGGGCTGGGTGTGGTCCTGGGTATCATATAGCTCCAGAAAGGTTTTTTGCACAATGACTTGGAAAAAAATCCTTCTGAATTCTATGCTACTATTTATTT